TCTCAGGGATCATTACAGAATGTCCTAGAGTGGATGAACCGACGCTCTATGATTACTGAGTGCAAGGGAGTCCAGGGAGCCAAAGTATCGGAGAATATCAAGTGGTTTAACACCAGAAACGGCGATATCCCGCACTTTCTAGCTTGTGAAGCCTGCTATGAGGACAAATGTTTAACGAATAGCTTCGCCTCTCAACTTAAGCCGTCAACAGATCTCCAGGGTGACAATGACATCTGGTCATGCGATATGGCTATTCCATTCATAGATCGAGCATATCGAGAGTTTGGCAAAAGCGATGCCTGGACCACCTTCTCCGAGGAAGCGGCCATCCGGCTCCACCAAGTGCCCGGATGCCCTGGTCAGGACGCCGTGAGCACGAGAGGCAGGAAATGGTACCAGCCCAAGAACAATGACCCAGATGGCTTGGTCATATGTGCTGCTTGCTACTGCGACCAGGTTCTCCTAACCACGGATACGGGCATGTGGTCTGAAGCTGTCGAGCTCTCAGAGCGGTTTGACATAAAAGCAACATGCGATTTGGCCCAATTTAACGCCCTCACATCCATGCTGGTCTCCCAAGATCACAACGACTTCTCTATATTCTGGACAGCCATCAAGGAGACTGCCAGACATCCACGCTGTGACTCCAAAGGTACCAAGAATGCGACTTGGTATACCTTGCCGTCGCATCCTTCGAACTTCGGTGTCTGTGGAGCCTGCCACGCCGGTCTTGTCACACCTCTCGGTTTGAAGGATTTCTTCTCAATAAATAAAGACGTGCCTCCCGATGCGACGTTATTATGTTGTTTTAACCCTGGACATCCTCGAAAAAGTGGTATGTTGCAGAAACTACTGGAGCTCTACTGGTTGCATAAGCCTCAAGGACTCGAGCAGTATGCTATTGACTATGCTAGCACTCCAACTTGCAAGAAGGATGAGGACTTCAAAAATGCAGTTTGGTACGGCTGGAATGATTGTACAATCTGCCCAGATTGCTACCTCGAATTTGTCAAGGGAACAACACTAGCCGACAAGATGCCACTTCAGAGCACACTTAAAAGTGATAGCCACATGTGCGAGATGTACAGCCCCCGTATGCGCAAGCTCTACCTCGAAGCATGCGAAAAGGGCGATCCTTCCGAGCTGCTTCAGTACTCCGCCTACAGACGTTCAGTCTATCTAGAAACAATCCCAGAATGTCGCATGTTGCTGTTCCAAGCCAAGATGAATCAAAGGCAGCAGTCAATGCTCAATACGACTGCGAGCTTCTACACCCACCTAGGTGCAATGCAGGAGATCAGCATGCCGAGTGCCTATACATATAGCAGCCCCGGCTTGGGAGGAGGTTTCCATAATCAGCATGAAATCCAAGGCGCCGCTTACGCAAAGCAAGGCTGGAACACATTTGTTAATGGGCAGTCTTTCATCACTAACGCCACGTTCCGGGTCAAAGAATTGGAAAAGCGATGGCGCGCTGTAGAGTAGCGCGGATTGCAGTCGATGGTTACCGAGTTATTCTTGTCACAGGCTGATATATCATGTAGATGTAGATCTGTGCATTCAACACCTTCTGAGGTTTAGAGCCGCTCCAAATCGGAATGAATTTTTTGGGGTCAAAGTTCGAGCATATTGTGGAATCAAATTACTGTTACGTCCCGGACGCGACTTTTCTCGAATTCGCTCTCTGGACAACTACTGAAGGACCCAATCCGTTTGAAGAACACCTGTCCCTTTCGCTTGGCATTACCGCCCTCCTTGTCATTTTGTTCCATGTTCATCTTTCTGCTCATGGCTTCCTTATCTTTTACCAGGAGCAGACCCTTTACTAGCTTGTGAGATCGCTTCCTGCCGGCATATCCTCGTGATGTCGCTACTAGTGGTAACATGTATACCACGTGGGGATCAACGGTATTTTCTTTGCGATCTTTCTGAGCTATCCAGTCATGACCGAAGCCTCGGTCTTCAGCTGCCATTTCATCAAGTGTTGCACTCACAAGCCACCACCAAGTACGATTTCGATCATCGCTGTCATTACTACGCTGCTGGGTTTTGTCAGCTGCTTCTTCGGGGTCTAGCTCCGAGTCGTAGTCGGAATCTGAGTCCGCAGGCAGTGGCCCAGTTCGTCGGAGCACGCGTTTGAAAGGCGAAACGTAATCTGTGAATGGTCCGCCAATAACACGGTCTGTGAAAGGATCAAACGTTGGAATATCGCTCCATTTTCTCTGTTCATCTTCGTCCGCAGATGAAGTGTCCACGTTTTCCCTTTCTTCATCTCCAAATCCATCGTCATTTATTCGTAGGTCACTCCTAGAATCTCGGACTTGTCCTACTTCAAGTTCATTCGATTCCTTTCGCAGAGCCGATGATTCAGCAACACCTTCACTATCAAATGACTCGTCAGATGATGATGTTGGAGATCTAGATGGTGTTGGAGCACATGACTTCCGGAAGATACTATTAGATGGTGGATGCCACCACGCTCTCCTGAGCTTTGTGCGTAGTACCAGCCGTCCGGCCCCGGGCTCGATCTCGCCAAATGGATTATCGTTGCCATATCTTGGGGTGGTAGTAACAGTGATTATCTCGCTCATCCATTCTTCCTCGTCTTGCTCAAGACTGTCGCCAATCGCTAGGACCTTTGGGAATCTGTCATACTCAACTACGCCCCCTTCCACGCTGGCCCAAGACCAGCTGGGCGCTCGGCTAAGGCCGTTCTCAAGCAGGGGCCTGGTCACTGGGACTTCACTGTACCTTAGAGTCATATGGTAGTCTGACGTCTTCCATGTGAGCTGTCGCAACAGGTCGTATTCCCACATGCCAGCGAAATACCTTGGTCCCAGCAGTGGTGCGTAGCAGCGAGCAGCTATACCAGCGATGGCATTGAGTTTGTCGACCTGAAGAGAGGCAGTTCGGATAGAGTAAGCGGTTATCAGACGCAGCCAGCGACCGAGTGCATCGATCTTATCGGAATCATCATATCTGCTGGTGGTCGTAGGTTCTGGCACTAGAGCCGAGATGTTGAGCGTTTCGCGAAGGTAATCCTCTTCCTTGCCACTGAAGTTTCCTGGCCAGTAGGGCAAGTGCATGGATCCGCCGAACCTTCGAGTCGGCGGGGAATGTGGACAGCTCCATGTCATGGTGTGATTGTGCTGTGTAAAAATGAGCTTTCTTTGAGCAAGTAGCTGCTCTTGCATGGTCCATGCCCTCCTAGAAATAGGTTCTTCGTGCTCGGCATAACAAATGTAACTATTTAAGTCGACAAAGCTCATGGACCCGAATCTATCAGGGGCAAGACGCACTGGTATCACCGCCGGCGGTCGCGGGTGGTAGCCCATAACGGCATCGTCTGGTATAGATAGAAATCCAGCGTCTGCTCCGCTTGCACTGGACGCAATGATGGTCACGGCTGAACATGAATAGATGTCTTGCATTCGGGCCATCTCTTTTGCCTTCTCAACTTTATCATCCTGGACAATACATAGTGCGTCAACCCAGAGATAGGGAATGGCCATTTCGCGAGCAACGATGATAGCATCCTGGATTGTGCGCGGCAAATCTTCGACAGGAATCCCTGTTTGGAATTGATCAAGATTGTCCTGACGCAAAGTAGCATTCTCCTGGTGACCCCAGCAATACGACAAAGTCGCATAAACTCCTTGGGCCCCATGAGCCTCTACAACACGCGGGGCTCGTGACTGACCCAGACCAATATCGATGACTCTGGTCGGCAAAAGTGTCTCTTTATAAAAGCCTCCGTCCTTTCCACACCGTTGGCTCTCACACTCGTGAATCCAGGACTGGATCTGGTTTGCTGCGTCTTGGTCATCGACAATACTCTTGACCGGCCGAGAAAGCACCACCTCGGCGGCTGGATCGTCGGCAGGGGTATATGCATGATGCAGACAACCATTGCCAACTAGTGACTCTCCAGTCCTGCGGTCTCGTCTCGCAAGGCTGAACATCAGCACCTTGGAGCCAGCGTGCGGGGCAGTGGGCGGGGTGCTGCAATCGACTCTTACAGTCTCCAAGGTGATCTCCAAGAGATCTTGGTCGTACTCTGGCGCATTCCCGTCTTCATCCAGCTCGCAGCAGGAAAAGAATCCAATGTACTCGCACCAGTTGCATTTCGATTTATTCTCTGATTTAGCGGACTTCAGGATGGTTTCAGAAGAAGCGATGTCCCGACGCCTCATGAGAAATGAACAGTTATCACGAACATGTTGTGAAGTTGTTTGTTGAACTATTTTCCGGGCTTGTATGTCCGTTGTCGACAAGTTGCTCTCTGGAAGGGCCATAAACTCTTGGTAGGCTTGGGTATTGAAGAGTCCGTCCCAGCACGCCTGGCAAACGAGATCCCGAGGCGCAACCATGATCCCATCCGGTTGCGTTGGCTCCTCTCAATTCTTGACTCTAGAAGGTAAAACACAGCCTTGGGGTGTTGCAGACGTTGGATTGCATATGCACGTCCGTGGCACAGAAGGATCAGTATCTGGTGGCTCTTGGCGCTTCTCAGCAGACACCCCAAACGCCAGATCACTATGACTACGAATTACCTCGATGAAGTTGCACAATATGCATTTGGACTGGTCTAAGATAGTCAATGAGCGCGGCTGGTACGGCTGCAAATGTCATGGGTTTCCTCTGCTGTGTCTGTTTCTAGCCTTCTGATTTCCTCGATAGCACTTGGAGAAAGATGCTTCGACAGTTGCGGATAATCACATCCTTCAAGACGTGGGGAATATCTCTTTATTCTCATGTAGTCATAGCAATCAGATTGAACGTTTAACTCGTAATGCTTTCTAATGTGTCAGCTTGCGTGATATGTGGTCCGCCTGACCCCTCATGTGCAAGTTTCCGTGGCCATAACAACCAGGGATCGAATGAGATATCTATGAGGGCCATGAATAAGAGCGCAATACCCGGCGCTCGCTGAAAACGCTCTATATTTATGCATGTGAAGAGGCTGAGATGGGATGGTGTTTAGCATGGTACTGAATCAGCTATGCGACGCTCTCTTTTTCGACTTCCACCACCTCGTTTGGCTGTGGCCGATGGGGCGGTTGTTTCCCTAAGGCCACTGGCAGGTCAATTGTTAGCCATATGAGAGGCAGTGCCAGGCTCGGGCAGTGACTTACGTCGTTCGAACAGTATGTATGATGTGACGATGAAGAATGGCAGGCCGACCATCAGCCCGAGCCAGCTCCTGCCCGCCTTCTTGTACTCTGGACTATTCCTGTCCACCGGCTTCATAGTGGCTGCCTTCTCTTCGAATCTCTGAGACCATTTTGCAGGGTCCGCTGCGTTTTCAAATGTGCGACGTTCCGAATCGACTGGGACTACGGGCTCTGTTGACTTCGCAGACGCGGCCTTGCTCGCAGCGGAGGTTTTGCGCGTTGTCGCAGACGCTGAGGCTGCTTTCTTAGCTGTCGATGCGGCCGTGGAAGCGGAGGCCTTGGCCTTTGTGGCCGCTGCCTTCACCGTCGTGGATGCGGACTCTGCCTTCTTCTTGACTGACGCTGCGGTGCTCTTTGTGGACGCCGCCCGCGTAGTTTTCTTGACCGGTTCTGGAGCCTCCTCTGCCGTGCTTGGGGCCGTTGTCTCAGCCTTCTTCCTGGGGCGCTTGGTTGCTGTGGCGGTCGTCGCTGTCTTTGTGCTGATCTTCTTCTTGGGAACTGCGGCCACCTCGCCGGCTCCAGTGTCTGACTTGGCCTTCGAACGGGTTGTTGTCGAGGCGTGCCGTATTGCTTGTCGCACGGGGATTGGGAAAGCTCTGCCGGTAGCCGTGAGCCCTGTGTTATTCCAGCAGCCTGCGCATTTTGCGAGGGCGTGCGTGTTCATCCTCATTCCCAATCGCGACATCTCGAGGGCGTATCGTCGTGGCAGGATGAAGTTTCGAGGTTCTGCAGAACGGTAAAGATACCGATACCTTTCGAAGAATGATGATCGATAGTGACTCCAAAGCAGTCACGTCGCAGGCCGACCTCTCGCTCTGCGTCGTATCGTGTCGTATGATCGCAGAGGAGAGCAATTGACTGGGCAGGGCTCAATCGCATCGAGAATCGCGTCGCGTCGAGTTCGCGGAAAATTAAATTCATGCACTAAAACGCTCACTCGCCTGCAAGACGATTCATGTGGGGTAAACCTAAGCTAACGTTAAACGGTGCTGGAACGGTACAAGGATGGTCTACCAGTATTCCTGCCCCAAACCCAACAAGCCACTGGGCCGGAACCTCGCCGAGATCGCCCCCCCAACAACGTGGTTTAGTTGAGAGTTAGTGGACGCCAGTGCCTGTCACCCAAACTGGAAGGGATTAGGTACCTAAGGGATCCCGGATCCAAAGTTGGACCGGGCAAAGTGAAGTATCAGGTATCAAATGCCTGTACTTCACACGACTTCGTTGCTGACCTCACACCCCGGACTTCATAATTCACCTGTGATAGATCCTTCTGGCTGATTAATGCCCTAGATAGAGACATAAGTTGCGAAGGAGCTGGTGGAACGTGGTAGGGCTGAGGTTGGAGCGGACGTTGAGAAGGGCCGTGCCTCGGTCTATTTTGCACCTCTCCGTCGTTGTCTGTCTTCCAGGTTTGCCCATGGGATCCCATTGGCCTCGGACTCTTGCTTCACAGTCCGAAAATACATAAGGCTACATTAAGGTGATATCTCACTGCGCTCTGCCGAGAGGCATTTTACCAATCAGCCGGGTGCTTTCCCTTCAACAAGGGCTATTCCAAGGTTGCCAGCTGCCGCGAAGCGCATTGGCGCCTCCCGAAGGATCCCATCCCCTGCAGCCTTGGGGCATCGACGCCATCAAGTCATAAACCACTCCAACTACCAGTCCCGTCAGATTCCAAAATGAACTCTGTTCATCCCTCAGACTCTTCTAGCGACTGAGTGCAACAGCGGCGTCTGCATCTGAGAAGCGTCGACAATGCTCTTACAAAAACGGCAGCGGAACTACGCCGTGAGAAGCAGGACGGGCTGCATAACTTGTCGCAAGAGGCACGTTCGATGCGATGGATTGAAGCCCGCCTGGTACGTCGTCAGAAGCCCCTCGGCCATCGGAGGACGCCGCGCCGAAACCGATGCCATGCTGCTCGATGACTGACACGCATACAGTACCAATTGCAAGAGCGGTAGCCGTTTCTGTTCCTACCCAGACCTCTTCGTTACTTTTGGCACCTCCAGCGGCTCAGATGAGTCCTCGGCAGCATCCCCGGTGTCCGTGGAGCAGTTGCCCCCCAGCGAGGAGCCAGCCATGATACAGCTCCTTGACCTGATCCCGAATCAGTCATTCGCTGGCTTCCCTCTTGAGCTTCCGCCAATATCACGACGCTTATTCCATTCCTGTGAGTCCGCAGTCGTCGGAGCGTGCACCTAAAAGGATGCGACAGTTGACACAATTATCAAGTTGCCCAGCAGAGAACGCCACGCATCAAGGGCGGCGGTTGGCATGAATCGGCAGTGTGAGCTAATCCCATGGGAGAGGAGATGATGTGCAAGAAGTAAATGACAGCTACGTTGAGACAAATATTCTAACATCGAGACAATCTCTAGAATTCATAAAGCCTTGGCTAATCCGGGGAATTTCCATGCCACGCTAATCATGGCAAGTATCCATTGGATATGGATGGGCGTCTCGTTTGACGAGCTCAAAACCGCATTCCACTATCACAGGCTTGAGGCTTGTCGCTGGGTCAGTCAGCAGTTGGAGGATCCAAAGAAGGCGAAGAGCGAGGCTACCATTGCCACTATCACTACTCTGGCGCTCCTCGAAGCATGCTTTTTCGACTGCATCGGCTTCGACATGCGCCTATTGGACACGCATGTCAAGGGAATGCAGAGGGCCCTGAAGTACAAGCCAGGAAAGACCAAGGATAACCCTCTTCAGAGTTTGACGCGGATGTGAGTGCCACTGCAATGCCTATGATGTTCCGTCTCGAGCCTCGCGGTTAACACTGATGTAAGGATGGTGAAAGACATCAAGGAGGGTCCCATCAGTATCCAATGGGTCCCTTTCACGAAACTGCATCGACCCATCGTCGAGGCGGTATCCTACCCTCAAAAGATCCATCCAAGGTGGCTCACCCAACCAGACTGGCAATACCGTAGCCAGGCCACGGGCCACGAATGGCGAGCTGAGCTCGGCCACATGGGAAAGCCAGAGGGTATCCGATATTTCGAAGTACGGAGCCAGACCGCCTTCATCATGTCTTCGTTCTACATCTTCATACGGATTCCTTGGAGTGTTCTGAGTTCCTACGTGTTGAACTGGGTGATCGAGCTCTTCTTCGGCGTCATCGTCAAGACGGAGCCCGGTGTGTTTGGCAACGTCTCTGGCTACAAGAGTTGGCAGCGGCAGTTCAGTTGTCTTGATGCCTCTGGCGCGCCGCCCGAGCCATACGACGCAAAGGACTGGTTCTGGATGTGCATCTACTGCGCGGCGGCTGTTGACAGTGCGCTCCCGCGGAACAAGAAGGAGGAGGCGCAGAAAGAGCTCTACAAGAAAGCCATCGGTCAGAATCTGCGGCGCGTCAGCGACCTATTGCAGCTGACAAGCTGGGACGACGCGATCAAGGCTTTGCAACATGTCAAGTGGGATACAGGCTTTGACGGTGAAGCACGGATCAAAACTATATGGCAGGATGCTGTGTTTGCAGAGCCTACCGACACTTCACCTAAGGAGGCAGTCATCGCGAGCTGAAGAGACCCTGTCAATCGTATCTCAAACTAGGCCTCAGATCTAAGTCAAGTTCTGGCCAACGGCACTCCGCTAGTCTAACCTAGGATCCTCTGTTGGAACCCCCTCGGCCTCACGAGCCTCCAGCCAATCTTCCATCTTCTGCACAATATATCTACGAAAAGCAATAGCAGTGAGACACATCAGCCAGACGATACCGAAGGCCACATATGCAGTTGACAGCCAGTATCTGCGTGCGTTGTCTACAGCCTGTGGAGTCTTGCTGTTGAGCTCTATCAGAGTCGAATCCACCCACGTCAAGCGCTCGCACCAACAGGTCCGGAACACACCAACAAGGTGGAAGATTGTACCGAGAACCATGACCAGGGAGTTAACGAAGACGAAGAACCAATATATCCCCCGGACGACGACTAAGGCCGAGAGCTTTTGGGAGAAAGAAATTGCAGAGGATGCTTGACCTTCTCTAATCGATTTGCTCTCCTTCCCGTCTTCACGGACCGTAAGCCACGAGCACAGCACGTGCAGGTATGCATTGACGAAGGCAAAGACTACATACAGAATGAAGTTAAAGGATCGACATCCTAGACCCACAGTCGGGGTAGTCCACGCGATGGCGACCGCACACGCCGATGAAAATGCGACGACGCAGAAGCCGAGCAGCTGTCCGGCACAGAAACGCAACCAGAAAGTCCACTTCGACAGTAATTCTCTAGCTGCTGACGCGAACTCTCCGGCATCAGGATGCTTTGAATTCGCCCATTCTTCCCAGTAATGATTGTTCACATATCTGTGCCGTAGCGACGTGGCGAAGGGCGCGCCGCCGAAGTTCAGCACCGTCGAAAACGCTCGTTCTGCAAGACCGGGGTTGATCGCGCTGGCATAGCAGTTACCAGCAACACCGAGCACCAGGACCCATGAGAACCAGACACAGTATGCTAATGCCAGACCTGTGTCCTTGTCTCCCATCTTCGAATAGGCATCATAGAATGTTGCAGCTGTGACGGCAAGAAGCAGGAGCACAGGAATAAGAATTCCGCTGACAAACCCTTTACGCGCTATGATCACCATCTCGATTGCCTTGTTGATCTTGTCTTCATCCTGTGATGCATCTTTGAGAGGGTTCTCTGAGGCGGAAGCTTGCTGGTCCTTTTCACCCGGCGAGATATTTAGGAGAGACGTCTCGCCACCAAGCTGAGCCTCGGATTTGGCAATGTTTTTATACCCAAGGACATCAGTAGACTGGGATCCTCCTCTGCCATACCATCGTGTCTTTCTAGTGAACTCGATATCTCCTGCGAGAACCGCGATCCACATTGCACTTGTGTCAGATAGCAGAGCCTCGGTCGGCTCTTCCGAGGGAATCCCTAGAGTTTTGGTGACCTTGTCAAGCTTCAAGTTGCTCAAAGCCCATGCATCAGACCAGATCTCGTTCAGAGCACCAAACATGGCGCTGCCTGGATCTCCAAGAATGCTCACGTACTCTTGGATATACTTTGCCAGGCCGTTGAAGACGCTGTTGAGAGGCTTCCAGACTCTGCCCTCTAAGACGTGGACTGCAACATCACCAACAGGACATATGAGAAGGACGCCGATGTATGGAGATATGTATGTCGACAGGGGCAGCAGCCATTGTTTGAGTGAGCTATACTCGGCCCCTCGGCAGTATTCCTTGGCCCACGCCATGCTTCGGACAATCGAAGGTAGTGTTTGATTATTGCCATAGTCGATTTCGGTATTGAAGCTGCAGACCTCCCAGGGATAAAAGTCGGCGATGTAAGCATGGAAGTCCTGGCGGACGGCAAGTGTACAACACTTTGCAATTGAGAAAGTAGCGCGGACGACAGGCAGAGAGCCAGCTATCAGGACAGACAAGATTACTTTCATGAAGACTGTCCAAGCCTTCTGCGATGGAGAGCGCCTTTCCATAATGCCAACAAGTAGATCAATATTATAATCTCTCAGATGACCACAACCTTGTGTGTAATTTGATTCTGCATTGTTTGTTGTCTTCAGTTCTCTTCTTATGCAACTCTGCTATCCTGAGGCTGTGATCTAATTAATAATAAAAGAATCATTGCAAAACGACAGCAACCACAACTCCAGCCTTCAATCAAACTCGAGGACCCCCTTGTTTCCAAGACCCTTTCAAAAGCCGCATATGTACTGCAGACTGTCGATCCCGTTGAAAGGGTGCAGATTCAGCTGAACCTTTTCAGCGAAGCGCCAAGCAGTTGCTAGGATCATCTACCAATAGCCGAAAGACAAGTTCAGCTCAATGCAATACCGACAAGCCACCCGGGAGTTGCGGGCCTCTCTTGAGCGTGATTGGGCTCTTTTTGAGTCCTCTTTTGAATGGCATGCCCAAGAGATGAGTTGTTCTATGTGTGTGTTGACACAAAAGACAAGGGTCTAGTTACGCAACGCAGTCAGGCTTCGCTATTGTTGCCGGTAACTCCATGATCGCCGACCTTTGTACGTTATCCGACGGAGTCCTTCGGCGGCGAGGCCGCAACGAATGGTGGCTTTCAAGACAAGGGCTTCCCTTCTTGGCATAGTATTGGGGTGCGGCTCTGGCATGAGGGAATATTGGCTTTTGTGAGCTCTCCTCTATGCCTCAGACGACTCTCGGTTTTTCCACATGACAACTCTAACTGCCTCCTAAAACGAATACACTTCTTTCAAGGTCAACATGGTCTCTCGTACGTATCTCTTCGTGTTTAGGTTTGCGTTGTTCTTCTGGACAACAACTAGAGCAGACCGAAACCCCATCAGCTTTCCTGTTAAACTCCTTCAATCAAGACAAGCAAATGCTCCTGGCTTTGTTGATCCAGTCACTATCCCTGCATGCTTTGCGAATGTCTGTTGGTGGTATTACTCCCCTCCTCCCGAGATTTGCCCACTCGTTGACGGCCCTTGTGCCGATAACTCGGACGCCACTGACAATGGTGGTGATAAATGCGGCATGAAACAATATACGCGCGACTGCTATTGCTCTCTCAAGACTGGGCTCTACTGCGCATGGTCGTGTAGCTGGGAATCCTGGTGGGACACGGAAGACTGGTTCGCTGATTTATGTCCCGATTCTCCTGCCTTGAAGCTCGATTTCTCTGGCCTGCCCGACTGCGCCCGGAATTGCCTTGATGATGCTGTCTTTGAATATGGCTGCTTAACTCAGAGCAGCAATTGCTTCTGCTCAAACGGCGATCTTTTTGGCTGCCACGATAAATGCGGAAATACCGACGAATGGCGACAGATTGAGGATTGGCTGCAGGATGCATGCGACATATCTCCTACTTTGGCGAACGAGGCTTTAAAGAGTGGCACATTCGCTCTCGATGTCACTACAGCGACTGAGTCTGCAAAGGCAGTAGCAACAGAAACCAAAAGCGCTAGTCCACCCAAGTTGCCACCCCGAAAGAAACCAACTTGGGACGAGGACTTTATATTTGCGGTGCTTGGCCTCACAGTACTGACGGGTCTGGCCTTGTGGATTTACAGTTGCGTGGCAGGAAGACGAAGAAGAGGGGTTCATATGCCTAAGAAAGGGATATCTTTACAGAGCTCCTAAAAGGTTATCTTTCCCAAGCCTGTGATTTTGAGATCAGAGTAGTTTCGGCTAGGACATTGATTTGGATTCGCGTTTTGATCTTTCATGAGATATTGACTATATATTACCACTAGGAGCCCTGCCACAACGGGCTTTATACGGGCGGCTCCTTGACTTCAACGACGAGTTTGCCTGGAGATTTCATCAGAATATTCGCACAATGTATGATAATGGACAACACTCACCATAATTAACCCCATCGTAGAGGCCGATTAGTGCTTCTTCAGCCTTCTTTAAGCCTCCCTTGATAATGGTGGTTTTAGGCTTAATCTTGCCTTCCGATATCCATTTACCCAATTGTTGTGAAGCTGCAGGCCATTCTCGCATGTAGTCTAGCACAATGAATCCCTCCATTCTGTCATAGTCAGTCAAAGACCACAAACAAACAAAATCGATCAGTCTTACCGGATCCGCATCGCCGTGACCTTGCTAAAGTTCTGTTGGGCTTTTAGTATACAGGTCCAGATTTGAAGGATAAAATTTCAGTCATTGCAACAAACCTGATATGATTCGACGACGTTACTCGGGTTGTATTGGCTAATACCTGCAGATCGTAAGATCTCTGCTTTCGACAGTTAAACATTTCCATTACTCACCGCCGCACATAACAAATCTTGCATGTGGTTTTGCTTGGAGGAATGCCAAGTCAAGGACTTCTCCACGAACTGGAATCATCAGCACATTGAAAAAAATGTCAGCTGGAGAGAATTTTTTACCGTTGTCCCAGAACACGTCAATAAAGTCCTAAGCAGAAGGTTAATTTTCATAAAATGTAATCAGATATAGAAAAGAATGCCACCTTTGTCGCTTCGAGGAGCTTTTCTCTGAAGTCCGGCGCTTTATAGTTCAAGGCTTCATCGAAACCAAGCTCTTCTTTCAGCCACCGGCACTTGTCGTCCGATCCTGCCGTGCCAATGACTCTCGCGCCTTTGATCTTGCAAATCTGTCCGACTACCGAACCCGTTGCTCCGGCAGCTCCAGAGATAACGACCAGCTCTCCAGGCTTTGGTTGGCCAATTTTCTCCAGCCCAAAATACGCGGTGAGTCCAGTAGAACCTATGGCTCATTAGCCCATCGCAATTCATTGAATTCAATGTCATCCCGTAGAAGTAGGATATCTTCCGAATTGCATACTCAATACTCCCGCTAGATCATGAACCTTGAGTTCAGGTAGTAACTGCTGGCCAGGGGCCAGTTGCGGTGGCCAGATCTCCTTCTCGCCGAGAATAGTGAGTTCTCGCCACCCACATATACCCGTAGCTAGATCTCCTGCCTTGAACATTGGGTTCTTGGAGGCCACTATCCGTCCTACTCCTGTGCCACGCATGACTTCACCGATCTGGACAGGAGGCAAGTATGATCGGACATCTAGGGCCCTATAATCAGTATCTGAGCCCAAGACTATATCTTGAGTATACCTCACCTTTGAGCCAACCACGCATGGTCGGATCCATTGAGAGATAATAGGTCTCGAAGAGAACCTGTCCATCTTTAAGGTCTGCTTCTTTGGGCGCATCGACAAGCTCTTCTCGGAATGTCTTCCCCGCAACGATTCGACCCGTCGGTCTCTCGTTCAGTACAATAGTTAGCGACTTCTCGGCCGTCATGATGCAGTTTGGTGTTTATCTGATAGTCTGTCGCGCGGGAATACTAAGAGAAGGAAACTTTGTGTAATATATGGGGCCTAAGACTTTTTTCGAGAAAGCATCATGATGTAACAAGCCTAGGCCGGCTGGGACCGTCTCTAGTGTTGTCTAACCTACGCTGGCTGAGGCTGGGTGCACCAATGCACGCCATATCCTCATTTGCGTTACGATCGTGCAAGTCTCGGGGACTTTTAGATGTGAGACCGCACCGCCATCCATGCTTTCGGAATAAACTCCGTGCGGGTCGGAGGTCGGGCGTTTCGAATCAGATTTGAGACTCGACCAACCGTCCGGTCGTGGCGCCTTGGAGAACCGGACGCTCCGCCCAAAACGGGCAACTCGCCCGCAAGGCCCACGCACGTCGTGGCCGGACATTGAAATGTGCATTGACGGCGGCGATCACTTCGCCCTCTGCGCCGAACGCCACTGCCATAATAATGCTCTAGAACTGAGACAGCCTTCAAAGACAGCCTCGGTTGCTTACACAAGCCTTATGAAGCCGTGTGTTGCTCCGGGGGTCCGCAGCGGGGCGGTGCTCAATGGCTTCACCTCTCAACGGCGGCAGCGATGGCTACAACTGCAGCAAGCCAATCATTCGTTTACTCCTAAGTCTTTGCTTTCTCCATTTCAAACTGAGACCCGTGTCACACGAACGATGAGGACTTTGCCTTTGTACATATTCGTTCTGCGCTAGCACTTGTTTCGATTGCGGTCATTTAGAGGAAATGCTAAGGTGTAATCTCTCGACAGGGCACATATCTCCTAATACCTACTTACTATAAATCACACCAAGTTCACAGCCATGTCAAGTAAAGACTTTCAATGTCTTTGTTCATTGTTTGAAAAATGGTGAGAATAATGCGAGGAATTTCGGAATGTCAAACAGATGGTGCCTTAGACAAAGAAATGCGACAGGTTCCAAAACGTGGCCTGTCTTGTACAACAAAGCAGATAGATCGATATATTGCCGTTGCAAAAAGTCCGTTCGATTCTTATGTGACATTAAAGGTCTCAGCAAGTTGATGCTGCCTAAGTCAAATGGGGTAATCAATTTTTCAATAACAGAGGCCAAGTCAGCATAAATTCCGACATGTGTCTATTCACAGTCCAGCATTTCACATATCACAGAGTCGCTCTGAGGATGACAACCGAACCTTTCACAACCAACGGAACAGGAGATTTCACCAACCCTTTCACTGTTCAGCCACATGATTGTAACGTTTCGGTGACAGAGCCTGCATACTCGAACTCCTCACGTACCGAAAATCTGCCACAGGCTGATTTCAACTGGTGTGAGTGGCATGGAACGTGTTGTGTAAACTGGATATTGATTGCCTATTGCAAAAATCAGCATGGAAGGGGTCAAAATTTTCAGTGTCCAAATACAGCTCACTGCCATGAGTATCATCCGATCACAGACGCCATGGGACCGTATCCGGACACGGGCCAGCAACCGACATCTTGGGTGGACACATGCCCGACTTTCCCGATAGTGCTCCTTTACACAAGAGAGCGACGAAGTGAAGCCGACTACGAACGAATCAAGGCTCTCCGGGAGTCATTCTGTGACATGGCATCCATGGTGCTGGTCAGCAAGAGAAGGTTAGCAGATGCCATGAACGACGCTTGGGATTACCTCTGCGATGTCCAGCGAGCTCTGGACGCCGGAGCCTCCAGTACTCCGGATGTCATTGAGCCTGAGGTGGCAAAGGCGATCGAACTTGTTGAGATCTCCCGTGAGCAGATGAACAAACATCTGAGGTACACAAGAGAAGTGGTGAAGCTGTACCATGATCTTCAGATTGCTCTCAACAATCCAGAGTATCGTAGGTACGATGGCGATCATTCTACGAGTCTGACTGCCGTCAATCCCGACACGTTTGAAGAAGGACCAAAGAGCTTGAAAACGGTTTTCGATGCATTCGATGGCCCTTTGAAGGGAATCCCAGAACTTTTTGAGTGGTGCAAGCGGATGAGACGGGTTCAACTACAAATCCAGACTAGCCGTTCATCTGACCACTGTGTGCTTGACTATCAATAAATTATCATGTTCTCCTCCATTTTCAAACTATCCCAAAGTAACCCTGACTGAATATCAGAATTCCAAAATTGCTTGTACGAGATGCTATATCAAAGCCTGAGCTGCTCAACTCCCACACGAGCCGTAGGCTTGTGCTCCGGACATTAAGGCTTGCAGCGTTTATCTCGTGAAACGTTTATATGGGCAAATTAAGAGAAAATCCAACATGAGCTTACCATAGTATGAAAAGTTGACCAGTATATCATTCCAGCAATTTTCTTTTTAGACTCTTATCCGCATCTTCTATAAGACATCAGATAGGACGGGGATGTTTAGACTATCTTAGAGACCGAAACACGGGACTACAGATGGTGGGTTCTCCAGGTATAAAAGCTTCTGTGCATGCAGCTTCTCATGTTGATCGTGTTCAGCATCGTGTGGAAAGAGCCCGAGAGGCTCAAGGCCGATTGGTCTCGAGTCAACTAGCCTACGCCTCCTTTTACCGATGAAGCCATGTCATGTACTCGTCAAGATCGATATGCTTGTACAGAACTGTACGAGGCGCTTCTCGGCCCGGTTCGGATCGCCAATACAACTACAAATTTAATGAGCCATGTGGTGACCAATGATAGCAGGCGTCAGATCCCAAACATACCCCAAAAGAACCAAGAATTGCGCCTAGACGGCAGAATCGACAGGGGCGGTTTCCCCGCAAACAAAGGGCTCACCAGCAAAAGTTGGGGTATCAGTGGATCGTGCTGCTACCACGCGATCAAGGTCCCGTGGTTCCTGAATTGGAGCGGCTATGGCAGAGCGGAAAATTACATCTGCAATTAAGGGCCGTCTTGAGTCGTATCGGGGGTAAAAACACCGAATCTTCTGCTGACTTGGATTGAAGATGTGAGGATAAATAGAACAGGCCCAGGCCCGATTCCCCGGGACGATGGCGTCTTCCAACCATAATACAGGGAGTAGGAGCATCGCTACATGGCTAAACTCTCAGAATTGTTGGCCTTTCTGGCAATCGCTGCTGCTGAAGTGTCGGCGGTGACGTTCAGTGTCCCAACGAAGGTCGGAACTGGAGGATACGCCTATGCGCCGCTCGATCCAGCACCAGTCGGGATCTCGTAAGGCCTTCCTCAATGCGATTTGCCATGCTTCAGCAGACGGAAGTACTAATCGTTGTGGTAGGTTCGAGTTCTTCGCATTCCCCTCATACTTCACAAACGTCACCGGCACGAACCAATGTCTCGCGAATTGGAAAGCGCTCACTGGTGTCTGGCCGCCGATCCGAATTGGCGGGACCACGCAGGACAGAGCGAGCTACGATGCATCGACATCAGCATACGTGGTATACACGGTTGCTAGCCCAGCAGACGCACCCGCAACATTAACGTTCGGTTCGAAATTCATGACACTTGCCAATACTTACGCGGGCACAGTCGTTATGGGTCTGAACCGAGGGAAGAACGACCTCGCAAATACGATTGCTGCCGCCAAGGTGGCCGTGTCTGAGATGGGCAATCTCTTGGCGATTGAACTGGGCAACGAGCCTGAGTGTGAGCAACCAACTGGAGAACAATCTTTGAATGTGATACTGACGGTGATGCAAGACTACAAGAACGATGGACAACCGATCGCGTCAGGCACATGGAACCCTGCCACCGACGCAGCTTCGCAAAATGACTGGGACATCCGTGTAGGCCAGGCCATCGGCAAGAAGAACATCATCCAAGCCGGCAATTCAAATGACTCTCCTCCGACGTGGGGTGCGGCTGAGCTCATTGCAACCGAGAACGCAACGGTGAAGGAGTACGTGAAGACATATGCTCATCACAACTACCCAGGCGGTACCGTCAGCAGTCTGATGAGCCACTCGAGCATTGTGACAAATCTCCACAAGTTCGATGCGGATATAGCCGCCGCTTTGGGTCAAGGAAAGCCGTACATTTTTGGCGAGACAAACTCTGGTAAGCTCAAGAATCGCGTTGTTAGTAAGGGGCCAAATGCTAAGCAATGAGGCAGTCTCTGGAGGCGGAGCAGCAGGAGTGTCTCCAACATTTGGCGCTGCGCTTTGGACAATGGACTATGCGCTTCGAGCGACTTATAGCAACATGTCGAGAACTTATTTCCACCACGGCACTGTCGGTAACTGCCAATACTGCTTCTGGGGGCGCTACAGCATGGGAGCCCCTTATTATGGCGCCACGGCAGCTGTTGCGCTCATGGCTGGAGCTAGCCATCTCACTGCCCTTGACACCGGCTCCACGAACTACGCCGGGTATGCATCGTTCGATGCCAGCGGTCCTTTGCGTGTGCTGCTGTACAACTCGGACTACTATAGTGGTAGTGATACCCGAAGCAGCCAGTCCTTCGTATTGACGGGGCTCACTGGGACTTCAGTCAGAGCAAAGCGTCTTACAGCTGCTAGTGCGCTTTCGCGACAGGATCAAGGTGGGAACCCATCTTTCGGAGGGCAGTACTATAACAATGGTACATGCGTCGTCGGGGGGACTGAGACTTATGAGACAGCAAGCGTCTCCGGTGGACAGGTGACGTTCACCGTCAAAGCTAGCGAGGCGCTCTTGGTGTACCTCCGATGAAGTTAATTTAGTCTCTGCAACCAAAATTGACCTGCAATCAAGCTAGCGTCCATGTCTTGTATTTGGCATCAAGTGAGTGCCAACCAACCGAAGACTGTATGGAGCGAAGTCGGCACCGGAAACCGGAGTCCTTCGATGACTGAAGCCCTGAATATTTCACTCGTGTTGCCGACATTCGAGCATGCAGATTGTCACCGCCAAAGCTTTGTGCAGGGTGAGAGTTGTTGTTAGCAGATACTTCATAGCTTCAGACGTGGTGGGTTCAATGCTTCATGGCCCCAAACTTGACTAGATTTGCTTCGAGGACTCCAACCTGCTGAGTCTTAAGTTGATGGCGTTCCTGAAGTATCTCACACTGCAACCCAATGACTCGGACAGCAGCACTAGCCGTAGATGGGTCCGTTGAAGAGATAGCTTCATGAAAGTATTTGGCCTTTGCGGATAGCACTCCAAGAATGTGCTTCAGCAAGGCAAATTGCATCAGCACCGACGCGTTCTTTTCAGGCACGTATGCTCCCACACGCATCTGTACAACGTCAAACTCAGGCTCTCTGAGGGTCGGGCTATCAAAAGTGACCTTGAAGCACATCACTACTTGAATACAGACACGTTCCAAGACGTCCAGAAACCGTAGGTGGCAAGAGATGAGTTGATTGGCCAAGGCATGGTCTATTGTCGAGGTGGAATCGTAAGTAGAGGCATGCTTATCAATCTCTAAGAGATCATCAGGGGCGGAAAGACCATGAATGCAATCTGGCACGTCACAAATGAAGGAGGAGTCCGCAGCCAAAGACATGGCAAACTTGGTTGCCAAAGGGTACACATCGACGAGACCCTGGCCGCATACGAAGATTTGCTCCAGCATGCACTTTGGTGACATAAGCAAGAGCTCAACCGCATAATGTTCTACGGTTTCACCTCGAGATCTGTGTAGAGCTGACTGGTGTGGAAGACTGGCCCACAAGCGGTCCATTTCGAACATCAAGTCAGTTAGGCGCTTGGTGCAGGCCAGCTTATCAGAAGCTGCCTCCGTGGCCGGACGCAATTGCTGCTGCGTCTCAGCCCCGGCTTGTTCAGTCGGATGTCCTGAATCCTGGTGTGACACCGCAGGCGCAATGGTTGTTAGATACGCATCGAGGTCGGAGCTTGTTGGCGGCAGTAACCAGTCGAAAGATGTCCCAGCAGCGTTCCCTCCTAGAACTGGATCATATCCGCTCATCTCCATCTCAACAACAGCATCATTTGGTACCTCAGGGACGGCGCCCGGAGGACTGTACGTGCAGGCCGATCCAGCCTTGAGACATCGTGAGCAAATGTTGCTTCCAGGCCGTTTAGGACACTTCAGCTTCTGCGAGTGACATCGGTCACAGGCTAGCCGCATCCGCACAGGAGCGGGCATGGCGGGAGGGGAACAGAAGGCTTATGTGAGCCGCCGTGCTGGGATATCGATCCGTGACCTTCAGCTGCCTTGCAATTCCCCTCTGAAGGATGCAAGTCGGGTCGGCCGAAGGATATTCTGGAAGAAGTGTGCGCACGTGTGATGGCGTATGACATTAGACCAGGTACGCGATGATGAACAAGCTACTGAAGCTACTGCATAGTAAACTAACGCTTTGACTAGGTGTGTGGAATGTATCCAATGGACGGCCAGGACACCGGCCGGTGTCGCCGCCCCCGGATGGTCCTCCCGTGTGCTGGGTTCCATCCGATAGAAGTTACCCGCTGCCCCTGCGAGTTGTCGCTAGTGACACTTCAGGTCGACATTCTGCAGGGCTCCAGACCGGGGAATCCACTGAAGTGTGACATCTGATGCGTCGCCTTGCTGATAGAGCTCTATCGGAAGTTCTGGAAGCAAGCTTCTGCAGCTGCTAAAGAAATACCGTGCGGAGCATCTAATGTCGGGGCCGTTTCATCTTCCCAGACAGGCGGTGATTGTCATTCCCATGCAACCTCCGCAATTCCCGATGTGACAGCAACGAGCGGCGACAACACCCTCTTCAGGTATTGCAACGCGCAGACCCAAACCGCCTGCTACTGCTTCAAGAAAAGATGACGCACAGCATACAGACCGCTGTGGCATCAGTCACAGATTCACCTCAGCCCGCTGTTGTGTCAGTGGTGGCCTGATTTCCCGCCCCTTGCTTGTGCATGGCGTCGTCGGTTGGTGAGCTGTAAGCTCGCCTGGCTTGCTTAGGCCTCTGGTGGCCGGCGCCACAAAATGTCCGCGTCGCTGTGCCGCCAAGCCAAGACGATGCACGAGGGATCGACTGCTTGCTGGCTCGAGCTCTAGGCGAGATAAGCCTCTTGGGTTGGGGGGACCGTGTCTTACTTCCCTTATCATTGTCGTCTATTCTCCTCCATGGCTTCCTTCTTCAAATTCAGAGAGAGGATCGCTTCCGTCTCGTCTAACTTTGCGTGCTGACACGTCAAAGAACCTTGACGACGGACCGCAGGGTCCTCGCGGTAGAAGCTGGGCGTCTTACGGTCGCTCCACCATGTTCTACGGCACAGCCTTGTGACATGGCGCAGACTACCGACTCGATTGACCCGACCACTGTTGTCGGCTACGTCAATGTTTTGTTGCCCGCCTTTGAGACTGGTTTGCAGCTCTATACGCGCTGGAAGAAGAGGAATGGAAGAGAAAACCATTACCACAAGCAGGCCCGAGGTAGTCAAGCCTCTGCCAGCAATTGCGCCTTGAGCACATCGTTACGTATATCCGCGTCGAAGATCAAGGAGACCTACGATGTGGGATTTGGCATTCTGGGCTCCGAATTTTCAACCGGCGACAGCAAGTCATTTCCTGCTTTGAAGTACATATCAATCAACTAATTGTATTATCTACAGACGCAAGTCGTGGCTGTCTTGGCACACAATGGCATCTGATCAGAAGCCGGATACGGCTTCTCCAAGCTGCCACCGAGACAACGGGTGGAGGACCGCTTGACCTAAACGATATCTTCCAAACATCCGAGGCAGTACGAATATCTACGGTGCGGGCCTTGTCTGAGCTGTATTCGCGATTGGCGATTGGGCGGCCCCTGCCCCGAGAGATCCCGTTACCAAAGTCGCGCTCTTCGTCTCGGCAGTCGAACGAACCCTTACCCACAGTCCCGAGATATCTCGAGGACGATAAAGAGACGGCCATCTGGTCCACGACGTCACCAGTCCCCAATTTCCAGTCTGAACCGCCGTCCCCGCCACGGACACCTGAGCTTGTGATTGACGATGCTGAATCCGCATATGGAGGTCCATCCGAGATTGGAGGGGCGACTGGGACCACCCAGCTACGACCCAAGAACAGTGTGTTCAGCATCTTTTGTCCCGAGGCCATGGCTTTGCAAGTCGATGTGAGACGACCTATATCCTCCAGACGCAAATGCAAATGTGGCTACCGATGGAAGGTACCGGAGCTTTCGGACACTAAAGATGCCTTGCTTCTAAAAGATGGCTTCCGAATTACGAGCCGCTTCCTCGCAAAGTCACATTGCGAGCAGGATGGCAAAGAAGGCACAAATGGCGGCTATGGATGTGTGCTTTGCACCTCTAGTGGACGGACAGAGACCTACGAGACAGCGGAACAGCTCAGGGTGCACATAAACGTGGCCCATACGAAGTGGCAGATGCTACACGACCGCGACATGACCTGATTGGGTCACTTTAAAAGGATCGAGAGAAAAGGGATGCGTCCTTTGTACGATATGAGAGCTATTAATGTTGGGAAGGGCTTCTGCGTTGTTCGTATGGTTCGTATGGGGCGGTAACAAAAGCGAAGTGACGGTTTTTCTGCATGGCGAACATGGTGTCTGAGTTGGTTTCCCGTCACTTACCGCTTAAAGCGTGCTTGTCGACTTGTTTCCTATGATACCCCGCAAACTTAATGAAAGCTATTATTGTCATCGACGCTGTCACGCCGCCGTCTCCTCACTTGACCACTCTATCTGCATGCTCAACTGATTAGCTTGATTTATATTATGTGTTACGACCAGAAGTCGTCCTGCTCTGGGCCAAAGCATACCGATGCATTGCAGCCCCACGCAATCCCAAGGCGAAGTGAGGTACGGGGAACCGCCAAGTACCCCTTGAGGGCAGTGCATATGCACCGTCCCCCTTTCAGTAGGACCTTGGATTCACGACGCAGCAGCGTTTCACTCGCTAATCTTGCAGTTGCCTAACCTTAAAGTAGTCTTCAGGCCGCATTTATGTCGACCATGTGAGACACGCGATATGGTTGTATCAGCCGCATGCTAACCTGCCTCGTGGGGTGCCTTTAAGCAACACTCGGCACGGCTCGTAAGCTCCTCGTTCCGTACTATATACTAGACCCCGTAGCGTCTTAGGTGGGTCGTTCGAACCAAGCTTCGGAACAAATACATCCTTCGCGCAACTATCACTGACTACACACTGACACGAACTTCAGTTACAGGGCTTATGCCATCCGAAATATTTTCTCCGTTCTTAGATGCGGTAGGAGAGGACACCCATGGTCGTTGAGAGAAGAACACTGGACAGTGCCTAGAAACGATAGCCAACAGTGAAAGGAAGCACATGGCTCGCGAGAAATGTCCTTGCAAGTAGTGAATAAATCAATACGCTAGATGATCATGCGGAATCATAACCTACACCAGACTAGTGAGTGGAAACGCAACAAGGACTGAATAAGGTGCGACCCCCAAACAACACCTCGCTCAGACATGCATCCTCAACTTGAAAAGAGCATTTTCCATGTATGACTATGCCATGATACGATGCGGAAGTGCTGGTATGTTTTTTTGCCATCATATTGCAACAAGCCACCCTTTTCAACTTAACAATCCCTGGACCCCTTTAGCACCCCGATAACAGACACTGAAGTCAACCTTTAGGTATTAAAACCATTTTGTTGGAGACACCATGGTCCTGTTTGGCCACTTAGAATTCCGGGACACGAAGACCAGGTGGTTTGTCGGAGGCTTTCAGTCAGGGTCTTCATGATTTCTGTGAAAACCGAATATCGAGCGCAGGTTACTACACAATAGCTCATTAGAATCGACTTTCGAAACTGACTTTGCTGCAATATTTCAGGTTGTCCACCTTAGCGTACAGACGTCTTCAGACACCAAGTAGGTTGTTTCAACCGAAAGATTATAACTCACCTGTATTTTGTAATCGTTTAGAAATGTCCATAATACATGCACGAAGGCACGATACAAGTGTACTTGTTGGTAATAACAGGACTGTCCTTGACGATCTTGCACTCGACATCGCCACAGGGCTCAAGGAGCTCGGTGATCTTGTGGCCACATCGATGGTGGATGAAGATTTTGCGATAGCACATCTGATTGCTGGGTGTCTTTGAACCTGATGCTACCCGAGAGACTTGCCAAAGATTATCAACAGAGACACAACACAAGCTCGATAGGAAGTTGTGCTGCTTTGAAGGGTTGTTAATCAACTTTTAGCTCTATTGACGAAGTCAACTCAGTTGTGCAGTTAGGATGAACAGTATCATGATGCAGCCTAGGATCGCAGCATATTTGTAGGCAATCCCCAAAGACGAGATGTCGCGACGAAAGGACATACAGTCAGTCGATGATGGGATGGCAATAAGGATAATATGGGAGAATGTTGGCGTTCACTGGTTCAGTCATTTCGGATCGCGTACGTGGTCCTCTGGAACTGACAGCTCGGCCATCGTTGTCTCTCAAAAGAAGTTGGAATGAGGAGTCTATGTTGGCGCGTGGTGTGCTTATTGAAAGCACGTTAAGGGAAAAGAAGAATCAGTCAAAAGTCACTCTCATATTGGATCGTCCACTAAGGACGAGTCTGAACCAGTGGGGCTCCGTTAACGGTATTCCTATATACCTCCCAAGAAGCGGAGAGGGCTGTCAAACCCATGACCCGTGCTCTCTCATCCATGGGCAAGGCTCCCCCACATGGGAGCAGTGAGGGGAGATAGGGGGGGCTCATCATCATGGAGGAAGCTCCTAGCTCGGAGACATCTCATTGAGCGCGCGCCCCATGCCCTCGGCATCCTCGTTTGAGCATGACCGCCAAAGAAGCTTCTTCGAGCACACGAGAGGACCCGTAATTCCCACCAGTCAGAGCCAGAGAGCCAGGAGCCAAGAGCTCTGAAGATCCTAAGATAAGACCTGATATGGCCGGTGAGTGTCACCTAACCCCACCTCCTTGCCAGCGAAGACCTGATCAAATGACACCTTCCGCAATATATCAACGCCGTTTTTTATTTATCTCTCGTTCCTGATTTGCTTTACTGGGGGCCGTTTTCCTGATATCAAGCATCGATGCCATCCTCGCCGGCAGCCGTTGTAAATCTGTAACACTAAGGTGATTCATGCCGTTACCCGCGCTATCCCTTTCGCACCGAAATCAGACGAACCCCACATCCCTGTGGCGGTCTGCTGAGCCAAAAATGGACCGCTGTAATTGCATTTCTTTTTGACGTCAAGTGTAGTTGCGTAGTACGGTATTGATAGTCAACAATTGATCCTCCTGGCAGGGGGTTCTGTTGCGGAACATTCTCGTCATCTCATCATTCGTGATAAGCCATAAATTGTGAGGAGAGCACGCCATGCCCTTCAGGCGCCTCGGTACCGTTCCTCAGATTTCAGGGCGCCAGTCCGCCCACGCCTCATGGCTTGAAGGACACAATGTACCCCAGCGGGATGCCACCCACAAAACAAGGAAATGAAGGATGAACAGAATAAAGCTTGCCCTCAAATCCCAGTCCCAGCGGCCCCCAGGAGGCTCGTGTCTAGCCGAAGCACCCCGAAACCCGCCACGTCTTTGGTTCAATGTGCCACTGCCGGCGATGCCTAGATCTAGACCTGCTACGGCTACGAGCGTGCCGCCAATGCCCACGTTGATCGTGTAAGGCCAGCAAGGGTTTGTTAGGGACGCCATCTTGGCGAGAAATAGGCCTAACCGTATGAAGAGAACCATGGGATCTGTGTGCCGGCTCAGAAAAAGCATTGTCTGATGCTGAACAATCCATGTCCGGTGCTTCACCTCACCCCAGAAAGTAGTTGGGGGCGGCATTAGAAGGGGTGTATTGACGACGGGTGACGCGCGTCTACTTGGGGAGTGACTGGTTCCATGGCTTTCAGGAGAGGAGGAGCGGGCATACCCGTCCTGACTGCGGGATGAAATCATTGCGGTTGGACGATGTCGAGGGCTTCCGGGACTGGAAAGCCTTTGAAGGCTATTCTGAAGAGTTGGCCGTGGTGACTGCCTCTCCGTAGGGTCTAGGCTAGTCTTGCTAAGGTCATCTTGCGAAGAAGAAGCGACAGTGGCTCGTTTCTTGGGATCTGGAAAGCATTAGCATAATTTCGTTTTTGGAAAGAGCAAGGCATGAACGAACCAGGAACTGGAGTGCCGGGAGCCATGGGCGAGTCGAGATTCTGTATCCGCCTTCCGGGCAGACTGATGTTGGGACTAACGCTTCTGGCCACCCTCGGCACACTGTCCAACACCGCTTCGTTCTTCATTGCGCTCAAAACTTCGTTCGCGCTCGGCCGTTCGTTCGGGTCGATTGCCAAAAGTCTCTTCAGTAAGTGGTAGAGCTTCGGCGGGAGATCTGGTCGTTCTCGACGCTCATCTTGGAAGCCTTTCCAATCCGTAATCTCGGCTCGAAGCATGTCGATATCTTCCAGCTCCTCCTGAACCGCGTTTGCGGCATGGTAGGGAAGCCGGCCAAAGCACATGAAATATAGAATCATTCCCAAGGAGAATATATCAGATTTGGTGGTAAAATTTCCATATCTTCCCGCAGTGTCTTTCATGAGGACCTCCGGTGCACAGTAGGATATAGTGCCGGTGGAACCAGTAGACTTCCGAACGACATTCTCCGGTTGAACCTCTCCAAAGTCGCTGATCAAACAAATGAGAGCGTTACCCTCACGATGCAATAAACAATTGCTTGGCTTGAGGTCACGATGTATGTAGTTGGCGGCATGTAGATAGGCCAGTCCCGAAGTAATATCCTTGAACAAAGAATAGATCTCCTCTGGAGGCAAGTGACGCTGCGCCGGGAACATGTCTTGCGGTCTTTCAGCTTGCGTTTTTGACCGGCGACGCATCTGAGCCTTGAGGTCTTCCTTGGTGGTCTCCTTGAGTTGATTCCCTATGATGTAGTGCAGCAGATCACCTCCATTACAATATTGCTGGAGAATAAAGGCACAAGCCACGCTCGGTCCAAAACGGTTCATCTTAACATCTTCGAGCCAGACGTGCCGATAGGACACGAGATTGGGATGAGACAACTTGGCAAGAAGCTCGACTTCAATCAACACCTTCTCCAGCCAGGCGTGGTCGTCTCCAACAGGCACGCGCTTGCAGGCGAAGTGGCCTAGATGGCATCCATCGATCTCATGTCGAACCAACAGGACTACCCCTTTGCCGCCTCGGCCCAGCTCTCGCTCCTCAACAAAAAATGTCTTGAAATAGTTTGGTTGGAACGCCTCTCTGCGAATACGGCTGCCCTCTTGCGGTGCTGGCGTGCTGGACACGAATTCGGCATCGGAGATCTCGTCCACGCGGTCGACATCGTCTTGGAACGGCTGGACTAGTCGTCGGATGGGGCTGGAAGGAGGTCGATCGGCCGAGACATGCTCATGGCTATGACCGGCGCGGAGCATGCGAAAGTAGTCCGGGTCGACGTAGGATTCATGATCGGCCGGGAATTCGTATGATCTTTCCGGGGAGGAGGGTCGTAGAGGTTGGTGGCATGCCGGGCATTCGGTCAAGCCGCGGATCTCGAGTCGCTGAGATGAGGGGTCACGGACGACAATAGCATTGCGATGACGGCTTTTTCAAAGACAATTAGCATTGAGCTGCCTCGCTACAAGGCATGCCTTAGGCTGGTCTCGCCTCGCCGTTTGCATGCATTATGATTGTATGCGAGGAAGCGGTCGAGACGTGGGCCATTGCATTTCCTGAAACAAAGCGCTGCGGCGGGGGGATGCGGCTCTCCAAAGCAGCGGCGGCAGCAGCAGCAGCATCGTGGAGGAGGGAGGATGACGTACAGAACAATCTCGCGGCCCTCGCGGGGATGGTAAGGAATCAGCGACATGGCATCGCTTAAACGCCCAAATCACCCCAGATGAGGCTTGATGTTTGTTTGTTTGCCTTGCATCGCAAGTTTCCCCGGTAGTTGGCAGGGAGAGCAAGCAGAGGCAGCACAAGGTAGGCAGTCGGGCGGTGAAAGTTTGTTGTTGATTCAGTGCAAGGCAGGCACGAATGAATTGGTGCAGGCTGTTGGGTGGTGATCCTTGTCCTGCGCAGCGGCTCTTGTTACAATAGGTGGCAGGCCACTGAGTGATGCGACGCCACCATGCCACCACGCAGTGGCGCGACCTCTGTGCCCTGGGTCGGCTTGTGACCCCTAAACATGCACATCAGATCAGATCAGATCAGACAAGATCACACCTGCACCTGGAGGCTGACATTTTGGACTTTATTCCGTTCCGAACCTCTTTTTCTAGAACTGCCTTTGATCAGTCTCTGCAGAGCATAATAGTATATTATTGAAAGCAAGCTCCTTTGCTGATACGTTACCAGTGTCCAGTTGCTTTGTTTCTCCAGACTAACTGATGGTGGTTTTCGTGGCGCTTGCATCCAGCAAAGAGACAGCTACCGCAGCGCAAGTCGCCACAATGTGAGGTAACTTTTAAACTCTTTAATGACAACTTTCTTCTCTATTGGTGATATACTATTTGGATGCTCTAATGCATAAATACTCTCTAGTGAGATGAGCGAGGAGAAGCTTACTCGAAGAAGGATTCTAGTGTCGAGAGACAAAGTTCGGGTACGATTTTCAACTCACAACATCTCGCAAGTGACCCGACTTGCAATCTGCCTTCAGTCAGTATCACTTTTCCTGTGGTCGTTGTACTGGTTTCAATTTTAGAAAGTGCAATGAACGGTGAGTCGTAGAATGAGCTGTCCTGTCACCTCTTGGACTCGAGCAAGCGTCTGGGGTGCGTATGGTCTAGTGTAGGTAATATGCATCGGCTTTCATTACCTCAGCTAAGACATTTATTTGCGTCCTGTAATGCTCTCGCTATGCCTGGCGACTCATTGGGTTCCGAGAACACCTCAAAAAGAAACGCACGTTATTGATATGGTCTAAGACAGTCCGTATATCAAAACAAAGTCTGTCTCGGAGGTGCTCGATCTCTTTGCTTTGTCTCATATCGAGAGACGCCCCGACTCGATGGACTCGATGACCTCAAGGGCAGAAAAGACATGGCGACGGTTCCGCGCGACAGGGCTACCCCAGCACTGATCGATGCATGTTTGGTTACGCTGCAGCTGCCCGGCTGACGGCTGACAACAGAGTCACAACGATTCGGTGCAACTGAGATACCGCGCTTGCCAACGAAGCTAGACTTATTAACAGTTGATAGAGCACGGAGACACGAGGCATTACAATACAAGAGAATACCCGAAGGATAAGTGATTTTGACTTGTCTGTGACGACAAGTTTAGATTGGCTCTGGTACCTGTACATGTACATGCACAACAATTGCTTATGTTGATTGCCCCGATCATGGGCTGTTACTCTACCCCGCGATTTCTTCCAGCATCCTCTTCTGGACTCCAAAGACATCAGTCAGATGATTTTCGGGATAAGCTCACCTTTGGCAATTACCTGCCTTCGCTACTGATTAAGTAACAGAATAGATAGGCTATGTATATAGATCGTCAGTTTAAGTAAGATGCAAAGGTTGCTTCATCACGCCACAGACACACGTCGTTGGCTGCGATAAGACAAAATGCCTCAAAGCAAGGCAGACCAGGGGCGGTCGTTCAAATAACTGATGCTTCGACGTCACAGGAGCCTCGCAATTGCTTGACAGCTATCGGTGTCGCCTCACCGAGTGTCGACGCTAGCCTCTTTCCACAAGCTACCCCGTGTTATTCTGCAGCAAGAGCTATCGCTTGCAGGCGATAGTGCATGCCATATCAGTTCATTCATGCCCACCACGGACGGCTACTTACATAGCTGTTACTGTCCTTTGCCATCGTAGATTTTCTAGGAAAGATAGCACGTGGATGTGGATGCACATTCTATGCATATTTCAAAAAGGGTTACGAGAGGCTTCTTAAGGCACTTCCAGAAGGATTGAGCCAGTATGACTCCAGGACGTAGACAGGAAGCGGGTCTTCGGAAGAGCAGCCTCGTGGGGTGGTCAGCTCCTGCTCCTCTCTTGTCTCCTCCGTGAGTAATATGACAGATAGACTTAACTCAGCTTGAGGCATTGACTTTGACAGATGCGGTGTGCGGTGTGTCCCTGAATGCTGTCATACTCTGTGGTAACGTCCGTAACAGGTTTGTGTTGTCCGATGTTGTTGGCTTTTCTCCAAAGCGTGTAAGTCAACGAGGCCTTGTGAGACGTAACCTTTGCATGGAGCAATTGCCATCGCACTATTGTCTTTCCGAGACATACTATAGACCATTTACTCTCTTCATGTTAGATCTTCTCCGTTCGGCTTTTCCCACTCTTCGATATGTTCCTATCTCAATTATCACGACTATGGAGACGTCCATTTTACTTTTTGCAATCGAAGAGTCAATGTTTGGACAAGACCTTTATGACTGGACCAATGAGGATCAACGCCTCATTTCTTATCTTCAGGCCGACCCCCTGCCGGGGACGGTTCCTCAGGCTCGCGATCCACCTGCGCTATCAGCTCTTGGCGATTCCTCCTAGCTTGACAGCTATCTACTGCTAAGAGCTCCGCAGAACGATATCCCTTCATTCGGCACTCCCCCGACCTGCCGTGCTCTGCTTAGCTTCCCACGCCAGGCACGCCCTCCGGCCATGTCCTATAGAACCAATACATGGGTTATCTTGCTTGTTCCGGACCTTGCGCTCGCAGATCGCTGTGCAAACAAGCTTCTCCAAGCTTCCCAAGAGCCCGGCCTCCCGTCCTCTCCGCAGCTGTCGCTCGACCCACCGCCACGCACGCGGTGCTCGCCGGCGTCCAGGTCCTGAAGCTCTCGAGAGCCCATGCCCAATGCATCATTCTGCAGTTCCTGGTGGGTGCAAGACCTCTATCTCGCCAATGATACCGCCGTCCTGTCAGCCTGGCTGCGCGATTCAGCACATCCGCTTCGGTAGGATGCGGTGACGTCTCTCCCTCGGCCTCGGACTGGCGCCGTAGAGAAAGGATCTTAAGTTCTTATGTTGTTATCCACCCATCATTTATTTGCTGTGCCGTCCCAGCTTCCTGGCTCCCATCCCCGAAGCTGAAGCTCTGTGTCTTTCTTTCTGCCAGGTCTCAGCCACTTGTTCCACGTTCTCGGGTACTGGCAAGCTTCAAGTGAGCTTTCACCGGCTGTCGTCTCGGCTTGTACTACTTAATCAGACGCTCGTTCCTCGTCTGTAATTCTCAACTGCACAAGTTCTTGGAGTGTCACTGCAGTCCAAGGGCTCTCGATCATGCGCTTCCTATCTGTAGCAGCCACTGCGCTGTTGGCTGGTTGCCAATTGGCCTCCTCGGCCGTAGTTGAGACCCGCCATGGGCATGGAAAGATTGCGCCGAAGGTGTTCATCATAAGCATGGTAAGTTTCCGGAGTTCATGCCATGAACGATGGACCTTCGGCCACTTCTAATTATACCAGTGCGCTTGCTAATTGCAATGTCCAGTTCGACCCGGAGGCTGCGGTTTGGTATGAGAAACTACCAAGCAGTGGTCTAGGAGATTTATATGCCAAGAACATCTCTGCCCCTGGACTGTCAATGCTGTTTCCCCATGTCCACTGCACGGAAGACGGCCAGATTTGCCAGGTGACCACGGGCGAGTCGGAGATCAATGCCGCGTCTACCATCATGGCAATGGTCCTCTCGGACAAGTTTGACCTGAAGAAGACGTACTTCATGATCGGCGGCATTGCAGGCGTGAGCCCTAAGTACGGCACGCTCGGCAGCGTCGCACTGGCCAGGTACGCCGTCCAGGTTGCGCTGCAGTACGAGTTTGACGCGCGAGAGATGCCCGAGAATTTCACGACAGGGTACTTGGCATATGGCACTTATTACCCGACCGAGTACCCCACAACCATCTACGGCACCGAAGTGTTCGAGGTCAACGAGGCGCTGCGGGAGATCGCATACGGCTACGCTGTCAAAGCCACCTTGTCCGACAACGACGAGGCAGCGGTGTACAGGGCCAAGTACGCCCCCGTGAGCATGTACTCGGCAGCCACTACCGCTCCATCCGTCATCAAGTGCGACTCGGCCACAAGCGACGTTTACTACTCCGGTACTTTGCTCAGCGAGGCGTTTGAGAACACAACTACCATTTGGACAAACGGCACTGGCGAGTACTGCATGACCGCACAGGAGGACAATGCCACGCTCGAGGTCATGGTTCGCATGGCAATTGAGGGTCTCGTCGACTTCTCCCGTATCATCGTTATGAGAACCGGTAAGTCTCCATAGAAGCTTGCCAAACATGCTTTGCATTGTTACAGCCGACACTGACTGAATTCCCTTAGGTTCGGATTTTGACCGCCCACCCCCGGGCGTTTCTGCCTTTGACCATCTGCGCTTGTCCGACCAGAACGGCTTCGGCATTGCAATCGATAACATCTACAATGCCGGTGTTGAAATTATCAAGGGCATTCTCAAGAACTGGGACTGCACCTTCAAGAAGGGTATCAAGCCGACCAACTACATTGGCGACATCTTCGGCAGCTTAGGCGGCGAGCCCGACTTCGGCCCCGGCAGTCTGACGGACGGTGCCGGAGTCTTGCCCGGGGGCCAGACCGGCGACCTAGCGAAGAGGAGCATCCCAATGAGAGGCCGAGTAAAGAGGCGTGCGTATGTGCCCGCGGCACTCTGATTGTCAGATTGAAATGCCGGACGCTATGCCCACATGAGGCATTGTGTACGAGGTAGCACGCGTGGGTGGCTTGAGAGCGATTTCACTCTGCCACAAAGTACAAAAGAAGTATATTAGGAGCTCGTCTCGGGGTCGATGTACATAAGTCTTCTCTTGTGTAAGCTCTAAGAGGACAAGCAAAGCTATCATAGGTTTTAATAGTAATGCACATATCATCAAGTCGATGAACTCTTGGCGTTGAAGTGAAATTAAGCATCTCACGCTGCAAGCGCCACAAACGTCTTCGCCTCCCCGGGATTAACTCTAAGCCAGGAAGGTTTCCTCGTAACCAGATGTGTTCGATAGCTGACTCCATCGAGGTAGACACGTATTCCCGATTGCCCAGAATATGAACGGTTACATCCGGCTGCTTACCACCATAGATCCACACTGGCTTTGCAGTTATCGGGCGGAACAGTGATCAATTATCTAACGACCTCGCGCGAAGAAAGCGAAGTCTCTGTCTTCGTTGATAAATTGGATGTGTGCTTAATGAGACATTTTCCCCTTGTCTTTACATCAGCGGGTTCGCCCCGGTAGAGATTATATTAAGATATCTTCGACGCCAAGCTTGAAACACTGTCAGCCCAATTCGTCTCAGGAGCGTTCTTGAACCAAACACTTGCATGGCAGCATGACGATCAAAGCATTCGAGAACCTTCAATGGCTGGCGATAAGGCTGATACAATTGCCACCAAGGATCTCATTCTTCCACTTTCATGCAGGAACCCATGCAAATTCGGAGCCAGTGGGCGCACTCAATTCATCCTTCCGGCACTTGACCAAGCCCCTGTCGATAAAACATCCAAGACCATCCTTTTGCGGATGGTCTTCATTCCGGCCTGCACTTCTCCCACACCTGAATATGATGCGATGCTCGCACTTCCTATACTGAGCTGCATATCATGGCAATGCTTCCTCCTGCTTGCACATCTGTTGCAGCTCTGTTTCGCGCTGACCATCTAGATAAGAAAATGCACTGCTATTGACTGAGACCTCTTTCGGGATAGAGCGCATGCCGTGCTCTATGCCCCTTTTACATTGCCGATGGTTTGGAAATCAGTGCTGCTCATACTAGGATGGAGGTCTGATGTCGCGGTCGATTGCGCGCAGGGGCGTGGATGATCGAGGTTGATCTTTGATAATAGAATCTCATTTACTATCCCATGTTACCTCCAAGACTAATGATACTTCTTGATTTTCTAAATTAACATTGTTTTCCAATCGCATGCCGCTTGCGGCTCGTACTGAGCATCTAAGAAGCCGGACTTCGGTATCGCCTGCCTGGTTGCAGACATCATGGAGAATCTTCGACGTTCCTCCACTGGCCGGAGGTCTAGTGATGAGACGAGTGTCCAGTTAGAGGACATGAACGACAGAATGACGAACAGTTCCACCGAGACTCTTACCAAGACTGAGTCTAAGGTTCCTATCAATGTCGCAGATGTTGAGGATAATGGTCGAGAGCCGGTCGTAGCCAATATGGAGGACATTGCCCTCAAGGCACTGCATACTGATGACGACCCAAGTTTGAGTCCATGGACATTTAGGATGTTTTTTCTAGGTCAGCTCGATCCCAAAGTGGCGATGTGATCGAGCTATTACGTTAACATCTTATTCAGGAATGGGTCTATCCTGTTTCGGTTCATCTCTGGCGACAATTTTCCTGTTCAAGCCTCAATCAGTTTCTGTCTCGGTCATCTTCTTGACTGTCATCAGCTATGTCGGCGGCAATGGTCTTTCAATTATCATTCCTAAGACCGGCGTGATTGGAAGATGGCTGAACCCGCACAGCTTCAACTCGAAAGAGCACTTGGGCATCATCATCATGGCATACTCAGCTTCGTCCGCAGCATATGCGACCGAAGTGTTGGCGACTCAGAAGTTGTACTACGACGTGGTGCCAAATGCTGCCGTCGCCATTTTGCTTCTCTTTTCATCGCAGCTTCTCGGATACGGCATGGCAGGTGTCTTGCGAAAGAGTTTAGTATATCCAACCAAGATGATTTGGCCATCGATCTTGCCCCTTAGCACTCTAGTTGAGACCCTCCACCGCGATCGAGGGGAGATGAAAAAGAGATTCAATTTCTTCTGGCTTATCTTCGGCATTGTCGCCGTCTGGGAGCTGATGCCGCAGTATGTCATGCCGGTCCTGACCGGTGTCAGCGTATTCTGTCTTGCAAACAGAAACAGCTTGGTCTTTACCAATGTCTTCGGCGGCTCAAATGGCAACGAGGGACTTGGTTTGCTATCTCTCAGCTTCGATTGGCAATACATCGGTACATCCGCCTTCTTCCTGCCTCTTATCACTCTCACGAATGGCTTCATCGGATACATCCTCTGTATGTGCCTTTTCTGTGGTCTGTACTATGGCAATGTCTGGAGCGCTCTCAAATTTCCGTTCCTCTCGCAGCAGTTGTTCTCGCAAAATTCCACCGAGACGCTCTTCGAGGTTTACAATCAATCAGCAATCCTGAATTCAAGGATGGAACTTGACCCTATTGCGCTAGAAGCTCAAGGGTTGCCGTTCTTCACTGCAACCAATGCCTCTTATCTTCTTACAACCAACCTCGGTATCACAGCGACAGTTATGCACATCGTACTTTGGCACCGTGACGCTGTCAGAAATGCTTTCAGCTTCAACCGGTCCGACTTCGCTAGTCTTCAGCGATATGCTTCGAACCCGCGTTCATTCTTCAAGAGGCAGCCTCCACCCATGACTGAAGAGGCCCTCGAAAAGCTCGACCCACATTATCAACGAATGTTGGCATACAAAGAAGTGCCATCATGGTGGTATGTACTAGTACTATTCGTTTCGGTTATCGTGGCTCTGGGGTGCATCTATACTCTCGAGTCGACGCTGCCTTGGTGGGGATTCTTGATTGCAATTACGCTGTCATTCCTTGCCACGCTGTTCTTTGGCGCCATGGCAGGTCTCATTGGATTCAACGTTCCTATCACGACAGTTATTCAACTCATTGGTGGTTATCTACACCCGGGAAAACCCGTCGCCAACATGTATTTTGTGTTATTTGGTGCCAATGCGCAGTCACAAGCACTCTTTCTTATCAGCAATCTGAAACTTGGACAATACGGCAAGCTGAGCCCAATCTGTACCTTCACTGTTCAGATCATTGGTACGCTTCTTGGCGCCATAGTCAACTATGCCTTGATGAACTCCATCACCACGAATCAGAGAGAGATTCTGCTCAGCATCCAAGGCACGAACATCTGGTCAGGACAGGTTATTCAGTCATTCAATTCCAACGTAGGTTCCTGCCACAACACAATCCTTGTTTCGAGGGACTAATGCATTTTAATAGGCTATTGCGTTTGGTGCGCTGTCCCAATACATGTTCAGCATTGGACGAACTTATCAATGGATCGTACTAGCCTTGCCTCTCGGGTTTGTGTTGCCTCTCCCATTTTACTTTGCACATCGGCGCTTTCCCAAGCTTGGCCTTGATTACCTTGTCACGCCCGTTCTCTGCTGGTATCTCGGCTACCTGTCAGTTGGTATCAACTCATCGGTTCTCCTATATTTCGCCTTGGGCTTCTTTATCCAGTTTTACGTGCGAAAGCGATACCCGGAATGGTTCCTGAAGTACAACTACATTCTTGCCGCTGCAATTGGCGGAGGCACCGAACTCCTGGTTTTCGTGACTACTTTCGCGGTCCAGGGAGCCAGTGGGAAAGAGGTGCCATTCCCGCCCTATTGGGGTAACAACTTCCAGAGCGGGAACTTTGACTATTGCGCATTGAACCCAGCACTAGGATAGATATTGTGTCTCATATATCTGGCGTTTGTTTTGGGGGGTTTCGGGTTGCCCCTCTGGTGTCTGTCGATATGGTCTGTGGCTTAGGAGGGTGTTAGGATATTACTGCCTGTTTGATACCCGGTAGGTTCAAATGTATCAATAAAGTGGCTGTTTAGTCTTGGTCTTGTAGAAATAGTTGCAACATGTAATGACGAGGAGAGGCGGTAGAAATAAGAGCTATATGCGGTTTTGAACCCGTCATTTACATCTTATACGATCTATTTCTATGTATTCTAGTTTATAAGTACCTCATTCCTCTTAGAGCCGGACAGATCTACCAAAGCCGTGATGGCATTTTCAACTTGGTGAAAGCAATCTAGATCTTGAGCTTCCTTCTTTAAGACATTGACTCGCTCTTGAAATATCCCATCAGCCAACACTGTCTCCAGGGCGTCTTTAATGTCTTCCATCTTCGGTTTGGGCGTTCCTAGATCTATACCAATTCCGGAATACGCCACCCGTTTCGCATTCTCCGTCTTATCCTGGCCCTCACCGCCAACCACCACGGGCACACCGTGTGCAATGCCGTGAGTTACAGCACCGTAGCCGGCGTTGTGTACCCAGCAGTGAGCATACGGCAGTATCGCATCGTAGCCGAGATAGTCGACAATACGGGCATTGTCAGGGATATCAATAGTAGAAGGAAGAGTTGCACCGCGCCGTCCCAGTATGGCAACTACGAGGACGTCCTTACGGCCTGCCAGAGCTTGTATGGTAGGGATAATCAGATCGTGGGGGTCACATTCAACGGTGCCTTGTGCCACAACAACGACCTTTCTTCCAGCTGCATCTACGGGTTGCGTCACGATATCTTCCCACCAGACTGGCAGATTGTTCCACCCTCCCGGCGGCTTTACCGCAGGTGGTATAATTCCGACAAATTTGACTTTTGATGGCCAGTCACTCCGCGGGTGATAAAACGAAGGCACACCAAGCTGGAGAATTCTATCGTGGCAGAGGTAATTTGCACCGCTCATGAATGCACCCTTCAATCCATGAGTTGCACCGGCCTCGATGAGCTTCTCATCCAGAAGCTTTTTGAGTGGTATACGCTTGGCCTCCCATCTCTCCCAGCATGCGGCGTTTCTTGCCCTCCCTTCTGCGGTTTGATCGAAGGGAAAGGGATAACCAAAGGGAGGGAGGTCAATGCTGCGGATGACAGGTACTGTCACCGATAAGCAAAGCGTTCGTGGGGCGGGTACGCCATCAGGTAGATTTGCTCCAAGGTAAAGGGGTAGGATCCCATGAAAAAATGCTTCAGAGACGACTACCACCTGACGACCAGGATGGCGCTTGTGCAGATCAAGGAGAACACGCTTGAAGCAATTCCACTGATCTGGTAAAGGATCTATGCAGTGTGCCTTCATATCCATCAAGGCACGGTGCTGCCATGAGAGTGAGGCGTAATTGGGTACCGGCGGATTGGGGTTGTCTGCCGAATAATACAAAAGGTCATCCAGGTCTGCGAGACCCTGCAGGGGCACGAATGTCACACCGGATGCAGAGATACGTGTGCGGTGTGCAGTTGGCCCCAAGAAATACACTGACCAACCACGAGATCGCAATTCCCCTGCAATCCGAAGGGCTGGTGTAAGATGTCCGGTCAGCGGATGGCTAACAAAGAGGACTACCGGCCGTGAATCGGCACTTTGCAGCATGGGAGCGTCCATTTCTGTCGCCGTCTTGCTTTGCTGAAGTGTATGAGAAACGCAAGGCAGCCTACAAGAACTGAGTGATGTGGCAAAGCCGCGTTTTAGTGCGGGGCCCGAAGTTCTGTGTTCCACCTTCGAAGGTACTAATCGTATTGACATTGGTAAAAGAGTCTCGTGCGAATTTCCAGCATTGCTTGACCGAGTAGTCTAAAACACCTTTTGAGTTGATAAAGATTAGGATAGACTTTAAATGTAGCATCATGGTAGAGGATATGATGCTGTCGGCAATCTCGGCATCCTGCCTTACCAAACTCCAATTATGTCTTTATCTACTATTTATGTGATGATAACTACTTACATCTACTCAAGAAGATCTCAGTAAAATGCATTTTACAAACGTTCATTAGGTATCGTATTCATCATTAGCGCTCACGACTCCTCAAGAGATGAGATGTAGGTTTGATTGTCTGCGACCAAACCAGGTGAAGTTGTTTGTAGCTAATAAATGACATAAGCTGATATGCTCACTGGAACCTCGGAGAGACCTACCCGTACCTAGACTAGACATGTCCATGCCTGGTATTCGGAGTCGGCATCTCCCGAGTTCGGATGTCGAGTGCCGGAGTATACTGCAAGACATAACTTGATGGCGTCTTGACTTCAAAGCAACACCCGGCAAAGGGGTACGGGTTTTCTGTTGTCAGTCTTTGTCAGTCTTGATCGTTCTACTAGCCCGGTATTTTGATATTGCATTGTGAGTGTCGTCTCCTAAACTCAAAGTGAAAGTATGAATAATACTTTAGGACCACGACTATCCCCTGATGCCAAGACCATCGACGGTACGGAAAGCCCAGGTTTTCGACGCTCGTAGCCTTGCAACCCCAGATCATGTGCACGACACTGCCGTGTCATTCCCTTTGGCCTTTATATGCTATTAGATATGTATTCATCTATTGGGAGCCTCCGAATGGACCCCCAAGGATTCTGGTCATTTAGCCGCCTCCAATGGGTTGCTGTTTACCCGCCTCGGCATGTAAGTTGCCCCCGTCATCGTAAATCTATGCGACACCACCTTACGTCTAGTATATTACACGACAATGGACAATGGTAGCTTAGTGTAGTGTTGGTGACATGGGTTGACTTAGTATAAGATCGAGACAACCTCCACTCCTGTCGCCAGGATGAGGTGCGGTCTTCTACGTGCGTGACCACGAAGAGGTAGTATTCCCATAGCAAAGCACGTTGTGAAAAGACTTCAATTTGTGGCACAATACAACATCGTGATGAAGGCTAGCACAGGTATTGTGCTGCTGGCTTCGGCCGCGGTAGAAGCGCATTGTAAGTGCCAAGCTTTCATTTAGGTCCTCGAAGGTGTTAACAACACAATTTAGACAAATTCCCTGCTCTGGTCGTTGGAGGTAGTCGAACGACTGACTGGGATGTTGTTCGCATGACGGCAAACTATCAGAGCAACGGTCCCGTAACGGATGTCACCTCCAAAGCGATGACTTGTTATGAATTAGCCGGCCGCACACAAAATACAAAGACGATCAATGTTACCGCCGGGTCTACTGTTGGTTATGTAGCGGAGGCGTCCGTCAGCCATCCCGGGCCGATGTCATTCTGGATGGCCAAAGTGCCGGCAGGTCAAACAGCGGCAACTTTTGACGGTTCTGGATCTGTTTGGTTCAAGGTCTACCAGGATTACCCCAGTGTTGCCGCCGGTCTAACATGGCCAACGCAAGGTATGACCTTTATTTAAAGCATATTGCTCGATAATTACCAGTCTAACATTTAAGCAGGGAAAACAACTATCAACGTCCAGATTCCCAAATGTCTCGCAGATGGCGAGTACCTGCTTCGTGGCGAACATATTGCTCTGCACAGCGCAAGCAGCGTGGGTGGCGCGCAGCTTTACATCTCCTGCGCCCAAGTCAGCGTATCAGGCGGCAGCGGGACGTACAGCCCATCCAAGACCGTGTCGATCCCAGGCGTATACTCACCGACCGATCCCGGCCTCGTTGTCAACATCTATTATCCCGTTCCAACCAACTACAAGCCTCCAGGTCCTGATCCGTTGACTTGCTAGTGGATCGCAGACATATGCTACGGGTGGGAGAGCTGCGGGAGTGTTCAGAGTCTGAGTGTTCATGAGATGACCATGATTGTCGTCTTCAGGCTTATGTGATTGGTTCATAGACACAGTAGCATTTGAATATATAGTATACATATAGTATACATTCATGGACTTTATCCACGGGCGTGAAGCAACATGGAAAGGTTGTGAGGCTTTGGTGAGTTTGGTATTTCATCGTAGGGATACAAAGTTGCGATGCTACGTATGTATTATTGCGGAACACCAAATTGAGATAGAGACCTGTTTCATGGGCTATTGTGTATTTCGTTGCCATTCTACTTATCCTTCAGCCGCAGTATATATTCTTCGATCAACACCACATTGATGATGAGAAAGTACAAGAACTGTCCATTTTTCCAGTAGTACGATATCAGATACAGAGAGACATAGAATGCGGAGTATATACCATGGATAATTTGGATAATTTTCTCATTTTACTATCATTAATCAAGACGAACCTGCTTTACACGCAGCCTCCGCCCTCTGTTGTCTGATGGCTGTGCTACTTATCTTTGCCGCAAAATCCTGCGTTTTTGTTGCTGCCTCGTCTGCAATCTCTGTGGCATCAAGGACATCCACCTCAAAGACATCCAGCTCCTTCCAGCCTTGCTCTATCCGCTTGTCATTCACAGCCTTGCCTCCTGACCTCGTCTCTCCTGAAACTACCAAGGCGTCTATATCCTCCTGGGTGATTGTCGGCCCGAAGGGGTCTTGTATCCTGACGCACTGGATAGAGATGGTGTCTTCGCGGAAGGAGGCGCGGAAGTCGCCGTCGCTCTCAATGATCTTCGTGGCTGAACCATCCCTCCAGCCCGTCGGAGACAAGTCAAGGATGGAGGAGAGGAATTCAATCACGCTCCGTGCGCGCTCGTCCCATGACTGTACATACTCGGCGAACTTTTTGTTCTTGAGCAGCTCGTCCCCTGTTATCCCAATGATGTAGTGACAAGTCGCAGACTTTCCCCTCTCAGGGACCTTGAGCAGATAGGCACCAGCTGTCAGCAGGAGCTTGTGTCCCGGATGCAGGTGATCGAATGTGCCCCCTAGACAAACAGTCGAGTAGCTGCTGGTCTGAGAGGTATTAGACGTAGTGCTGGCGTTGGGCACGTTGAGCGTCACCCCGCCCTGGACGGTGACGAGCTGCTCCTGCAGGAAGACCTGGTTGCCCTCTGCCAGCTTCATGTACGTCGAGTAAAACTGGTGACCCGCCTCGCTGTCCGGGTGGAAGACATAATTCCAGGGGAAGTAGGCCGACGCGAACGTGGCGAGGTCGACGACGGCGGTGTTGTTGGGCTCGATGGCCGGACGGAAGTCCTCGGTAAAACGCTTGTCTCGGCTATGATCCACGAGCACGACGCGAGCGTCCACGGAGCCAGGGCCGCCATTGACGTCCGTGCCGATGGACAGTTGGGCAGATATGACAGATATAATGGTATATACCCCGGCGACTAGTGATTGAGCCGCATCCCAGGAGAGTGTCTTGTGGCGCATATACGGGCCGTGGAGGATGGGGCAAGCGATGGCCACGATCAGCGTGCGTGCGCTCTCTGCATCTTTCAACTTCTGAAGCGCAGCGTGCAGAGACGATCTGTAGGCGGCATTGAGACACTCCCGGCTTGCAGGATTAGGAGGATAGGGGAGCAGAAGAAGCGAGGGCAGTTGATCGCGTTGGCCTTTCTTCACCATGGTAGATGGCTACAGCTCACTTGAGCAACCCCAATTTAGATATAATAACAAGTCTCTTCCGGAATAATTGTCTGCTTACGTACGGCTACCGTTATCTTTGGCAAAGGCAGTTCTGAGCTCGACCGATTGATTTGCCCGTAGAACAATGATATATCTGAGAATGTGAGCAAATGATGGAAGGTAGATGAGCGAGGTCCTGTGAGACGACTATGTCGGTTGGGTATCGCCACAACACGTGAGGATTCTGGCTGCTCGGCTGTAGCTTCGATGCGACACAAGCACAACACAGGATATGGATATGTGCCGTCATATCATTCGACGATGAATGGAATTGTTAACGGAATACAGACATCTTCATAATCCGGGTTTAATATTCAACAGGTTCCTCTCTGACAGCTTCATTATCGTTCTTTGCCAAACCCTAGAGTATACGAGCTCGGTCAATGCTGTATCTAGCCGCCAGACGCTGGCCGAATCAACTGTCTTCTCACCAAGGCCAGAAAGCTACGAGCTGTTTATATCAAAGATCCCTTCCATAAAAGATAGCCTTTCCATGAACAATAGATTGTTTCGACGACAATGACTAGCTTCTACTTGTTGTTCCCTATCAGAATGACGCAGCATCGGCCGTGAGGCAGGTCTGGTTGGGCTCCGAAGTGGTGCTATTGGAGCACCTCAGCCCCCTGCTGCCCTCCAGTAAACGTTAGTGCAGGCCCAGCCGCCCGCCGTCCTCGCGGGAGCAAACCCAACGAGGGTGAGCCGCGCCTACATCGAGAAGCCCGCAATAAATTCACCAGGCACTTCCTATTATTCCGCTCTCTCACAACCCAAGCTTCCACATCCTGCCTCCACGCCCGCCTCCTCCACGCCGACTGGGGCAATCCTGCTGGCTGCATCGCATCGACGAGCCAGCCCAGCCGTCGCGGCATTCTTCGCGACCGGACGGACCTGACTGTCGGCTGCGTCGTCGTCATTTGACCGCCCCTCACTCAATTCCTCCTCCAGCCCTCCAGATCTGATCCCACGCGCAGCTGGGCAACGACATCCTCCTCCTCCCTCTCAACTCCTCCCTCCCTCGATCCCGCCGCTCACGACCGAGCGCGCACGCCGCGATGAACCAGTCCCAGCAGCAATTCCCCGCGCCGCGGCGGACCAACACGTACAACTCACAGCAAGACGAGCTTCACATGTCGGGCCTCAGCCCGCACGGCCAAATGTCGCCAAGAGAGTACCAGTCCACCGGCAACACGCCTCACATCAAGCTTGACCAGGCGCCTTCAAATCCTTCTCAGTACCAGAACAACTCCTCCGTTCCTAATGTTCTGCAGCCCGGCGGCATGGGAGGCGGTCGTCCAGCGCCCATGTCCGCCAACACTGCTCCCACCCTGCCCACCATGCAAGCATCCATGTCTCAGCAGCCCGAGTATCAGACCCCCTCCAAGCCTCCCTCCCTGAGCCTCTCTCACAGCTACTCCCGCTCGAGCCCGGCTGCTGGCGGCTACGACTCGGGATCTGGCTACATGCCGTACACACCGACGACACCGGGCGGCAGCTCTGCTGGGCCTTCCCAGTTCATGTCACCCACCGACGCCAAGTATAGCGCTCTCGGATCTCAGAGAAATATATCGAATACCCCGCTAGGCCTTGCGGACATCCGCCCACGCGCAGATTCCACCCTGTCGGATGGTCCTCCGGGAAGTCTTCAGTATGAGATCGCAAACACGCAGGCTGGGACCAGCAACTACATGGCTCCTTGGGCCATGTATGCCTTCGATTGGTGCAAGTGGCTGCCACAGGGTAACGGCGCAGGGAAGCTCGCGGTGGGAAGTTATCTCGAAGACGGCCACAATTTTGTACGTCCTACCTCTTCTTTTGGTGAATGACCACCCATTGTAATTGATCTTTGCTAACCAATGCGTTCTATCACAGATTCAAATCCTCGATACCCAAATCACGCCGACCCCGTCCGATGTTTTCGTTCCTGGCGCCCCAAAGTACACAATGGAATTCAACAAGGTCGCCGAAGCCACACATTCATATCCCGTTACTCGATTGCTTTGGGAGCCCCCGTCGTCCCAGAAACAGACTACCGATCTGTTAGCAACCTCTGGAGACCATCTGAGACTATGGTCCCTACCTTCTGACGCACCATCACTGCAGCCCACCAGCTCCATCACAGGCCGCAACCGAGAAGCGCCAACGACAAAGCTGACGCCACTTGCCCTACTCTCCAACTCAAAGACGCCCGATCATACGGCACCATTGACCTCATTGGACTGGAATACTGTTTCTCCCAGCTTGATCATCACGTCGAGCATTGACACAACCTGTACAATCTGGGATATTCCGTCGTTGACTGCTAAGACCCAGCTTATCGCCCACGACAAGGAAGTCTACGATGTACGATTCTGTGCTAATTCCACAGATGTCTTCGTCAGTTGTGGGCAGGATGGAAGTGTCCGCATGTTTGACCTAAGGAGCCTGGAGCATAGTACCATCATCTATGAACCGAATGGGAAGGAGGAGAGAGGTCAGCGGCATCCCCGTGTCTTTGCAAAACGTATGCTAACTCCTTTGTAGACGCGAACGGCGGAAGAATAAGCCCTACATTGGCCCAACAGACAATGTCACATCCACCGCCCCTGTTACGCCTCGCGACTTCGCCACATGATACGCACTTGCTGGCGACGTTTGCACAGGATAGTAACGTTATCCGGATACTGGATGTGCGACAGCCCGGCCAGGCTCTCCTGGAGTTACGGGGTCACGGCGGTGCCGTCAGCTCTGTAGAATGGTCGCCGTTGCGAAGAGGGACCCTTGCCTCTGGGGGAGATGACTGCCAGGTGCTGATCTGGGATCTCCTGAACCAGACGGCATCCTCCAATGGCACCGGCCAACAGGACAATACCAGGAGCCCGGTGGCTAGCTGGCAGTGCGACTACGAAGTGGGCAACCTCGGCTGGATCCCGCATCTCTCCAGCGCTGACTACGGCGAATGGCTGGGTGTGAGTGCAGGTCGTGGCGTCTGGGGTGTCCGACTGTGATGACCTCGCAAGGATATACGGGGGCCGGGTCGAAGGGTTATATATGGGTTCTGATGGACGGGCGGTACGGGATCAGCGAGACGGGAGGATGTTTTGAAGAGCTAGTTGTCTAAAAAGTTGCCTTTCACAAAGAGAGAGAAAGAGAGAGAACATGCCGTCATAGATCTTGGCTGGTTACTTCAGTTGGTGGGTGTGCATTTGCAAAGCCCGGCGTTCTTTTGGGAAGATTGAAACGACGGCGACGATGACGATAGGGCAGAAGGCTTCGTCAGGTAGCTTCATGTAACTTCAATACCATGTATGGGAAGCTTGTCACTATCCTCTCCTGCTCATCTGCCTCATGGTGCGATGTCCTCTGATTTCCTTGAGCTTCAGAATATGAAGTCTTAGATCTTGAATGCGCAATCATATTTGGCAATTTGTCGTTGTCTAGTTTGCACTATAATGGCGTCGCCATATCCAACTGGTCTCGCGCTGATCTGCGGCTCAATCATCACCCCCAACATTCTGACATTATGATGAGACTTGTTGGACCTCAGGGACAACGTCACCGCTATCTAAGCCGAGCACGATCTTCTGATGGCTCATGAAAGGCGAGCACGAAAGGCCTGCGACGGGCCTTGACGCTCTTGTGGCACGGATGGTTCCTGAGAGACACGAATCACTGCCTTGCCCCAGACCTTTCTTGAGCTGATGTCCTTCAAGGCTTCGGGAACCGATTCTAAGCCTTGGTATAGACTTCTGTAAACAACGGGTCTGATCTTACTCATGAAGGGTTGCAGCTCCTTCCAGAGCTTGGCCTTCTCCTCGGGGTACCGACGACTGCTCTCTCCATATCGCTGCGTGGCAAGTTAGACCGATCGTTAAGATCAAGCAAGGATACATCACGTCAAGACCGAGAACAGAAATCAACTTACATAGCCAATCAACTGTGCCTGCTTCAACAACACCCTATTCATTGGGACCTTCTCAAGACTCGTCTCATCTCGTGCCGCGAAACCCACAATCAGGATCCGGCCGCGGTGAGCAAGACATTTCAAGCTCTTCTCGACCATGCCGATCGGGTCAAAGACGACATCAACCCCGCAGCCGTCCGTCAACGTATTCACGTCCATCCACCACTCAGCGCTCGACGGCACCGAGTAATCGACGCAGGCCTCGGCGCCGCACGACTTGACCACAGCGCACTTCTCCGCGCCGGCCGCCACGCCGATCACGCGACATCCCAGCGTCGCGGCAACCTGCACTGCCATGACGCCCAGCCCGCCGGCAGCACCGAGGACCAGCACCGTCTCGCCGGGCTTCAGCCCTCCCTGAGCGATGAGGGCACCGTAGGACACGGGCAGGGTGGCTGCGAGCCCCGCGGCGTCGGCGAATGACCAGGTTGGCGGGACGAGGTGCAGCGACTGGCTGGCTGCGGTGAGAGAGAGGGCAACCTGCTCGCTGTAGGCGCCGAGGCCGTCGCCGAACACATGGTCACCGGCCCGGAAGGGGAAGTCTGCCGGTGCAGATGCGGGAACGGAGAGGATCGTCCCGGCGAACTCGAGGCCTAGAGTGAAGGGCGGCCGGACGAGAGAGCGGTTATTCTGGTGCTTTCCGCGGGCCTGAATGAATGGTTAGTTTCGGTCGATCAATAAGAGCTTTGTGCAGCGAGGATGGATGATGCATCCGAGATAAGCTTACGTAGAGGGTGTCGACGAAGTTGACGCCGGCAGCTTTTACTTGAATAATTACACTGTCTTGCTGTTTAGGGGGCTCAACTTCAGATACAACAACTTCATCGTAGTCCTGACATGTGTTAGCCACATTGCTGACTGAACGGCTTCTTCAAGGTCAACCAACCGAGACGAATTGATGGATCACCACGGCCTTCATATTGTATGCTCTCCGACGAAGCGGTAGCACTGAAAGGATTCATACAGTCAAGGGGTTGTAAGAACAACCAGTCAAGCATACCGAATCATAGTGGAAGACATTGATTATTGTGACGTTGTGAGAGCCGTTCTTGGATCAACTCGGGTATTGTCTCCCCTGAGGACGTACCCCTCCCGAGGTTCTAGCGCACCATCCAAAATGGCATGCCTCAGAGATGAGAGGTTCTAGTTCTTGTTTCAATTTTGAAACATCAAACCCTATTAAAATTGATCTGAAATAATTTGACCAGAGTATATAAAAACAGTTAGATCCTTATGCGTGCAACCCAATTCACTCCAGTCCTGCTCAATGTCCCCAACTGTATAAGCTGAGAAGGGAAGGAAGCACGGACCAAGCAACAGAACAGGAACAGACCTCAAAGCCAGCAAGCGCGGTTCACGTGCCGACAGCCGCTTGGCCAAAAGAGTGCTAGTGCTGAATGGTTGCTGGAAGCTCTGGCAAAGAACATTATTCAAATGCCAATGAGCTGCTGAGGCTCGTGAGTCTAGGGACGTTAACTTCAAGCAACCATCCAAAAAGCCACCCGCTTGCCTTGTCCTCTGGCTGTCTGCCTACGGACTCTTTCTTCCTTTTTCTCACCTCGTAAAAGTTTTCTCTTTGTCGCTCCCTTCCCTCTACTCATCCTGCTTCACGGCACCGCCGAGCAGCAAAAATGGCGTCCAGCGACCCGAATCGTTACGACGATTCCGAGTCCGACGACGACAACTTCAACCCGGCACCGGCAGACGTCTCAGACGAGGAACCCGCCCGCGATGAGGACGATGAGGTGCCCGGACAGCGATCCCGCGATGATGCTGCGCGAAGCAGCCCCACAGCCGACGAGGACGGCGACGACGATGAAGACGAGGTTCGCGCCACTAACGGCAAGTCGAAGGCCTCGAACAAAGGCGATGATGACGAGGATGCCGAGAATGGCGAGGATGATGATGAGGATGGTGGAAGTCGTCGACGGAGAAACGACGATGATGAAGATGACGAAGAGGATGAGGACGACGAAGATGATGATGACGATGACGATGTCCAAGGAGTAGGTCCCCCCAAAGAATCCCTCTACGCTTTCATTACAATGCCCCTACAGATCTCTGTAGGCAGCAGTCCCGGAGTTCTGGCAATCTGTGAGATCTTGGCATGAGCAGGCTAACACAGCAGCGCCACAGGGTCATCGTCGCAAGCGCCGGCGAGACAGGCGAAATGCCTTCTTCGATATCGAAGCCGAGGTCGACGACGAGGATGAGGGCGAGGATGACGAGAAAGACGGCGAGGAGATAGAGGACTTCATCGACAACGCGCATCCGGATGACCTTGCTGAGACCGGTCGCATCAATGATGACCGATACCATCGAGAGCTTGATAGGCGCAAGGAGATGGAGGACAGCGTCGACGCAGAACAGCTCGCGGAAAATCTTCGACAGAGATATGGCAATCGACGCCCTGCGCGCGGCTTCGGCGACTCCGCCGTCGTGCCCAAGCGGCTCCTGCTCCCCGATGTCATGGACCCCAGCATCTGGGCAGTACGATGCAAGGAAGGCAAAGAGCGGGAGGTTGTCTTTTCCATCATGAAGAAGATCGAGGAGCGCATGAACACCAAAGATGAGCTTGCGATTACCTCGGCATTTGAACGTGGTGGTCCACAGTCGGTGATGAAGGGGTACATCTACGTTGAGGCTCAACGACAGACTGACATCTTGCTTGCCCTCGACGGGATGCTTAACGTGTATCCCCGGACGAAGATGCTGCTTGTCGACATTAAGGACATGCCTGATCTTCTGCGTGTGACGAAGACGCCCAATCTGGAACCCGGCGCATGGGTTCGCCTAAGGCGGCCAGCCAAGCATGCCGGCGATCTTGCCCAAGTCCTTGATGTCACCGAGAATGGTCTGGAGGTACGAGTTAAGTTCATCCCACGTCTTGATTACGGCCTTCGTGATGAGGCCATTGCGAATGCGCAGATGACCCCGGATGGCAAGCGAAAGCGTGCGCCTGGCATGCCTGGACCTCGCCCCCCACAGAGGCTCTTCAGCGAGGTTGAAGCCAGGAAACGCCATCCTCGACACATCCAGGGCAATCCGCAGACCAACACCTGGACTTATAACGGGGATGAGTTTGAGAACGGCTTCCAGGTCAAGGACATCAAGATTCAGCAATTGGTCGTCAAAGACATAAACCCTACGCTCGAGGAAGTTACGAAGTTCGCATCGAGCTCTGAGGATGGTGCCGAGAACCTGGACCTCAAAGCCCTCGCGGCCAGTTTGAAGGATAGTAACCTGAATGTCACCTATCTACCTGGTGATATTATCGAGGTTTATGAGGGCGAACAACGAGGTGTTGTTGGAAAGGCAACCAATGTGCAAGGCGACATTGTTACGCTCCAAGTCACAGAGGGCGAACTTTCCGGACAAACTATCGAAGTGCCTACAAAGGGTCTTCGGAAACGCTTCCGACCTGGTGACCACGTCAAGGTTATTGGTGGGAGCCGGTTCCGTGACGAAGTTGGTATGGTAGTCAAGATTTCTGACGATCGCGTCACTCTTCTGACAGATCAGACGAATACTGAGGTTACCGTTTTCAGCAAGGACTTGAGAGAGGCAGATGATATTGGTGGCCAGGGCTCACTCGGCCAGTACTCTCTGCTCGACCTGGTTCAACTGGATGTTACGACCGTTGGCTGCATCGTTAAGGTTGATCGCGAGTCTTTGGTAGTCTTGAACCAGCATGGCGACACCAGGCAGATTATGCCATCCCAGATCTCCAACAAACTTGAAAAACGTAAGACAACTGTTGCTGCTGATCGTAATGGATCAGAGATCAGGTTGGACGACGTCGTCAAGGAATATGGGGGCCAGCAACGCCAAGGCAAAATTATTCACATTCATCGGTCATACCTGTTCCTTCACAGCAACGATAACCACGAGAACGCCGGAGTGTTCGTGACCCGTGCTAGCAATGTCAGTACCATTGCTGCGAAGGGTGGTCGCGTCAACGCTCCGTCTACCGCTGGTCCTGATCTGAGTACGATGAACCCTGCCCTGAAGCGCAACCCTAACGGAAACGGCAATGCTATGACAGCGCCTCCTCGGGTCTTTGGTCGCGATCGGGCTCTTGGGCAGACTGTTACCGTGAGAAAAGGCGGCTATAAAGGTCTTCTTGGTATTGTCAAGGACACCACCGACACTCACGCTCGTGTAGAGCTACATACCAAGGGCAAAATCATCACAGTACCAAAAGCCGATTTGTCATTCAAAGACAAGGTTACTGGCCGTGTCATCGACATTAACGGCAGAGGAGGCCACGGTGGCGGCCGTGGCGGTTTCGGCGGTGGAAATCGTGGAGGATTTGGTAATAATGATCGTGAACCGAGCTGGCAAGGCGGTCGTACTCCTACTGTGACTTCAGGCTCCGAACGAACTCCGGCATGGGGTTCTTCAAAGGGTAAGTCAAGGTATGGCACATCGCATTACTTCATGAAGCTAATCTTGAACAGCAACTTCGCATACTCCTGCCTGGAGCCGTAACGATATGTCAGGCTCTAGGACTCCCGCCTGGGCGGACGGATCGAGAACTGTCAATCCTTATGATGGCAGCAGAACAGCATACGGATCGGGTTCCCGAACCCCAGCATGGTCATCCGGTGCAAAAACCCCTGCGCCGGACTCATTTGGTGCTGGATCCAGAACGCCAGCTTATGGTGGCGGCGGCGATGCTTGGGGTGCTGGCTCGAAGACCCCCGGATATGCTGGCTCGGCCCCAACTCCAGGAGCAGACAGCTGGGGCTTTGCCCCGACTCCCGGTCCCAGCGGTCCGTCTCACGCCTACGATGCTCCTACACCCGGTGGTGGTTTGAGCGCACCGACTCCAGGGGCTCTCAATGCACCAACACCTGGAGCATACTCGGCGCCTACTCCTGCCGCCATCAGCGCACCTACACCTGGGGCTTGGCAGGGCGGCTGGGGTGCTGATTCGGCTCCGACGCCTGCAGCAGGTGCTCCGACTCCCGCTGCAAGCGGTTTTGCAGCGGGCGGATACTACAGCGCCCCAACACCAGCTGCTTACGGTGGTGCGCCTGAAACTCCAGCAGCCAGTGGACCTCGATATACGGACGATGATTAAGCATTATGTAGGGATATTGGTCATGGCGTTCTGATGGTGGTTTAGCATAGCAATCCTCTTACCTTCATCTACGAGAGGACAAGGTAGTTAAGGAGGCAAAAAAGATTAGACACTTTGACTTAGGCCTCTGCTTTTAACGCCATTTATGTGTATTATAGGAGAATCAAGCAATTCTTTACCATATAACTCTTGGATATACCCGTGAAAAATGTTGTATCTCGGATTTGATCCTGTTTAACCCATGATGGACAGATGCAGCAGGAACTTGCACTGCGTGTGTCTATGACGATCGTTGCTTTGGTTGGATCTCAATTCCCCACAATCGTTGGCGGACTGTCACCGGACCGGAGGAGGTCACCCTCGCCACGACGGTCACTGTGCTTCATTGATATTGTCTATGCTTTGTATAATAAGGGTACTTGAATGGATTATGTAGTTTATAGCCTATAATCAGACAGATTAGATGGCCGATTTCGTTCTCTTCAATCTACTGGTCCCAACGTAGCGTTGACATTCAAACATTAACATAGGCCGGTGTTTACTCTTCTCATATTACAAATTAGACTCAAGTTTGAAGATATGGCTACTGATCGATCGGAGCTCACGAAGAGGGTCATCCCTAAGATGATCCTCGGTAACGACGCCCCGGGAAGTCTAACGGCGCCACCACCGCCGCTCTTAGGGGCATCTCCCGCTGCCCGAGCGGCGGCCCGCTTCGCCATCAATGGCTCGGCAATTGTTACCGGAGGCACCGGAGACCTGGGTTTCACCGCATGTCGGGCCCTGCTTGAACACGGCCTGAGCGGACTAGCCATCTTCGACCTCAACATCACCGAGGGTGCTGCGAAGGTTAGTGCCTTGCAGGCGGAGTTCCCTGATGCCCGGATCGAGTTCATGGCCGTCAATGTTACGGATGCAGCTGCAGTGAACAGTGCCGTGCAGGCTGCAGCGACGCTGCTAGGTGGAATAGACATTTTTCTATGCTTCGCAGGCGTGGTTGGGGCCGTTCACGCCCTAGATACCACGCCTGAGACGTTTCGCTTCCTGCTGGATGTGAACACAACGGGCTCCTTCTTTTGTGCTCAAGCTGCGGCGAAAGCTATGAAGGAGAGCGGACGAGGTGGGAGTATTGTGCTTACATCGAGCATATCCGCGCATAGAGTCAACTATCCCCAGCCGCAAGTTGGATACAATGTGGCAAAGGCAGGTGTGTTGGCGATGAAAGACAGCTTAGCAGCAGAGTGGGCAACGTATGGCATCAGGGTGAATAGTATCAGCCCCGGATATATGGACACTATTCTCAATGAAGGAGCGGGTCTGGATGAGCATAAGAAGGAGTGGGTAAGAAGACATCCTATGGGTAGGATGGGCCAGCCGGAGGAGTTGACTGGAGCTGTGATATTGTTGGCAAGCAAAGCTGGAACTTACATTACAGGCGCCGACTTCTTGGTTGACGGCGGGCAGACAATCCTCTAACTCCGCATGCCTTGTAGTCGTACTTGCTTATAGTATTGAAGTATTGAAAAAATGAGATTTATTAAATGCATTGCCGGGTTTTCGTTATCCAGAGAAGACTGGTCCTCATTCCTTACAAACTCAACGGCTATGAGAGCGTGATTATGATTTTCCCACGCTTTCTGTGAGTTGAACGTGAGCACCATAATAGTTTAAGTCTATTAGTTTAAACTTTCTTTATCATCACAAGCCAGAGAGCGTTTGCCAGAATTCTAATTACACATCTTCCTACACCGCTGCAAATTGATCTTGACCACACCCTTCCAATATTCTCTAGAGCCAAAAGCGAGGGGCGAAGCTGCTGCAACCAGAAAGTGAGAATCTTTTGGGAGCAATCCTTTCGCAACATTCAAAGCTCGCTGCCTGGTAAATGGAGAGTCACACGCTATGATTACCACTGGTCGAGCAGTTCTCAAATTGTGACCAACAAAGAAGGTTCCAGCAAAGACATGCATACTCACATCAATCTCCTTGTGGGAAATGTGTCTCACCTCGAGTAGGTCACGAGTCACCCTTTCCTGCACAAATCTTGACATTAAAACTTCTTCGAGTTGATTCTTTTCCATGTTTCCGATCCCAGTGGAGCCGCTGACTGACCAAAACCGAATGCCTCGAATTGTCCACCTCAGTGGCCCCTTTGACTCGTTAAGATTCCACCAGCTCGACAAAAGTCTAGCTCGCTTGAAACCTTCAAGGTCAAGCAACATCCGATTTGCGGAATCCAAAGCTAGAAGATAGTCCGGGACATCATCACTTGTTATAAACTGACCACGGCTTTGTTGCTCTGTCACGTTCGAGCCACGAGCTAAGGCATTAGCATCGAAGTCGTGACTTTGAAAGCATTTCTTGTTGGCGAGTTCGAGAACACGTCGATACACCAGTCCACATTTTCCATTCGAGCTTAAGATATGAGTTAGATAAGATATCCTAAAACAACATGTAATGCCGCAGGGTTATGGAGATAACTTACCAGGTAACGTCGGTGTTAGGATCACTTTGAAAATTGGTGAAATGACATCTGGGACACATGCTATGCAATTTGTGTCGATACTCGTCTACATCATCACCAATCTGGTCTAGACGAAAGAGTATAGTCATATTCAGGTGCTGCCCAGGCTGAGCAGCAAGATGAAAAGGGAGACATCGCTGGACATCCCTTCCCGTGCTCCCGTCTTGTAGCACGTATTGTTTTCGTGCGACAAACTCGAGAAGTGGACTATCATTAAATCGGTCGCGAATGACGGAGTCGAGAGTCTAGCTTGGTCAGTTGAAGTATTTCACCCTTGATGAGAGCTGACTTTCCTCCCACGATCGTATGATATCCAGCGGGATTGGAATAACCCATCCTAACACATCTTCCACATATACAGTATGCTGAGAGGTTGGACCAAAACTCCGAATCGAGCCTAGCAGAATATTCATGCCACTGTTGATATTGTTGACTGTCTTCTTCACATCACTAAATTCGTCGTTTATATGGTACCTAGGTTTGAGTCTGATCAGCATATTTCAACATCTAATTCTCGCCTTGAAGGTAGCAATTACGAACGTAGTTGACACAATAGCTCCAATGTCAGTCTCTATTCGATCCATGATGCCTGTCTGGTCATCAAATCTCGCCACCAAGTCATTCAAGCGCTTATCGATTGCTTCAGAGGCTTTGGTCTCAATGGTAAAGAAAGCGTCGAGCCTTCTAGCAATGGCTGTATGATCATGTTCTTGCACCACGCTAAGTGAAAAACGAACCCGTTAGCAATCATCAAAACTATCAAGAAAATAACGAACAAGACGTGTCAATGGATTCCTACTCTTGACCTCGTAGATGGACCATTTGTATTATACCCTTGGCTCGTTGCAGCTTTTCTCTCAACCGGCTCACCGTCTCAGTCTCGAGCAGACTCCATTGTATGGCTTTGAACAAGTCACGCAAGTTTCTCTTGTGGCCTGTCGGATGAATGAGTCCTCTGCTATACTTTGTGATGGCCTTCTCGAGGAACTCTTCTATCGCGGTCTGGCAATCCGTCGCTACTGGCTGGATTATGCTTGCTAAGACATCAAGATCTGGACCTTGCTTCCGTGTCTGCCAGAAGAGCAGTAACTAATAAAGTCTTGTTATGAGTGAGTTGAACACATTCAAGTCGCCCGGCTAGACTTGCATGATCGAGAACACGGTGGAACACTCTTAACTCAATAACCAAGTCCCGAAACTGGCGTGCTGAGCCATGACTTTCGCTAAGCGCTTGGAGTAGTTGGTTGGCAAGTTGCACTGTTGTGATGATGTCCCCGAATGAGCCATATGTGAGCGACATCCTGGATCACCTGAGCCCAGCCTTACTATCGTTGGGATCATCTGTTCTCATTAAATGCGATTCACAGGGCTGTCAAACTGTGGCGACTGGAGGCCAGGGAGTATGGAGCAAGAAGGTGTATGAGCATAGCTCAATAGCCTTGAAGCAAAAGCTGGAAGCCAATGTCAAGATGTTAATGAGATTTCAAGGTTGTTACAGATTTCAAATCCGCCTAGGTGAATCCCCATAACGATTGGCTTGCTTATTGGTATCGTCCTGTGATTGGTAGAGTAGCTGATACTCATGTCTGCCTTACGACCTGAGCAGGCGCGAAGCAACCTAGCCATGCAGCCCCAACTTACCCTTGTATCTACCTAGGTGTGCACTGAAGCGTCTGAAGTACCTATCTGCCCGAGTATGATAAGGATCACTAGCACTGTCAAATGGCAGCAGGAGAGTTTCGCTGGAAGTGCTCTTAGACAGCGTCTTTCAAGTCAGTTCCTAGTTGATGAACTATGGTTCAAGGTATCGTTTTGCCCCTTGCATTTCACTTGTAACATCAACAGAGTCAAGTTACAAGTTGTCCACAGATTGAGCAGTAATTAGACTGCCTACTAATTAATATCTACTATTAATACTATTCAGAGCTAAGTAACTTGCTGCCACTTACCTAGCGAGCGGCCCCACCATTAGCAGTCCCACCGTGGAAGGCAGCCAGTGAACGGTCGATAGCGGCCAATGGCGTCACTGCTATTGCCCTGCAGGTCTCACCCAGAGCACATGCAAGCAGCGCGTGAGCACCCTCTGCTTAGCTCCAGGCATCACCATCTCCAAGAAGAGACCACATACCAGCTCGTCTCCCGATAATCGCACTTCCATATATCCTAGTAGGCCCTTTCGCTAAAGCTGCACGGAGCAGAGAGATTGCCCTCAAGCTGCTCGTTCAATCACAATACAATACAGCACAGGGACTGGGGAAGTGCATCATGTGCAATAGCTTGAGGTATAGTCCATCAAGCAGATGTGCTTCCCAACTTCTCATTGACTTTTCGAGCTCTAATTATAAAATCTCATAGACAGCACTGAGCAGATCTGACAGTCAAGATGACGGCCAAATCGTCCTTTCTGCCGCGCCTCTCATTCTCCCGCGGCGACTCGCCTGTCCTCCCTTTCCACAACACCTCGAGATCCTCGCTGCGCAACAAGAGGAGCGAATACGACCTAGCAGACCTATCCCCTCGAGCTGAAGATGCTCTCTTGTCACCGGAGGCCGATCGAACAGAATCAAGAGATCCCTTCGAGCGCAGAAGACCATCGAGCACATCGGCTGGTAACAGCGAGGGTTCGAGCAAGGCGGGCTCTACGTCGAAGATGAAGCATGACCGGGTCATGTTTGCTGGCCCGCCGCCGCCAATCGCGACATCAAAGCTTCTATATACAGATGAGGAAGACCGGGCCGCAACCCTAAGGTCTAGGGGCTCAAGTCCCGCGTGGCTGCCCACAACTGCAGCAAGGCATGCTATCAGCAGTGTCATTTGGGATCACCGCGAGCCATCGACTGACCCTGCGCCGGCTTATGACCGCGATTCTGTCTGGCGAAGCCTGCAACGGCGGCAATTGGCTATCGAGCAGGATTTGCAGCGCTTTCTGAACATCCAAGAGCAGACGCACTCCGCTCGCCTCGACCCTACGAATACTGTACCTAGCTTAGGGCCACTATCGGATACGGCAAGCGATACGGGCAGCGCAACTCCGACAGGGACGAATGTGTCTGCATCTTCGCGAAGACTACGGTCTATTGAACCCATTGCGCGGTCCACAGCTGCCGGTGAAATCATACCTGTCCGTCAGCCGCGAGCAAGGAAGCTTGGCCTCACTGGTGCGCGACGAGGTCTAGCGAAGAGCATGGCGCTTCTCGCAGATCTCAAGGCTGAAGAGGATGCGTCGCTGGCAAGTGCCTTGTCTACTCGCAAGAAGGCCCTGGCTCAGATCCGCAAGCTATCGGCGCGGAGGGAAGGCATATCCGAGGAGCTCAGAGCTTTGGAAACAGACGACGAGGAGCCGCTCACTCGCGAGCTATCTGAGCTGGATCTAGAGCACCGCGGGGTTTGTACTGAGATTTCCGACCTGGAGGAACGCCTTGCAGGGCTGAAGAAGAGGCGGCGGTGGCTTGAGGGACGAATCGACGACGTTAAGAACCGCCGCGAGGCTGGGCTGAGCGGTTACAAGGGCGCGCTGAAGGAAGTTGAAGACAACGTGAAAGCTGTCTTGAGCCGGCCACCTGTCAAGCCCCTGGACCTGGAAGCCCTGAGGATGGCTGCTAGTGATGCGGAGAGCAGCCAAGTTGACGGCCAAGGGCCAGGGGTGGAGCTGCCGCTCGATGGCGTCGAGTTTCTACGATTACGGCCTGAACGGAGGACAATCGACATGGCCAAGGAGTGGTGGGAGGGTGAAGTCACGGTTCTTGAGAGGCGGAAGGCCCAAGTCGATAAGGAACGCGCCGCCCTCGAAGATGGCGCTGAAGTCTGGGACGAGGTCGTCAAGCTGGTCTCCGACTTTGAGACAGATTTTCGAAAGACCATGCAAGGGCCGCGCGAAGACGAAGGCTTGACAAAAGGCAAGCATAGGCCTCCGTCCCCGGAGGAAGCGTTGCAACTACAAGCAGAGAAGATACAAAGCGTTATTACAGGACTTGAGCAGCGGCTGGTCATTGCCGAGCAGAATCACTGGAATCTACTGATTGCTGCTATTGGCGCAGAGTTTGAGGCGTTCAAGGCAGCGGAGCATATCAACAAGGAAATGCTCAGATCTATGGGAATAGGGGTTGAGCGTAGCCCCTCACCCCTGAAACAGTCATATATCACTGCAAGAGAGCCCAGCCAGATGAACGGCAGCGAAGTTGGGCCTACGCTCGTGGATGTTCGCGAGGACAAAGCAGGCGAGAGTGATAATGAAGTACCTCCCGATCTGCTTGTGGCGCATGATGAGGATGGACATCGTCTTCAGGTGTCACAACAAGAGCCAGACAGTCAACTTTCTCACGAGCGAGAGGATAGTGAGAATGAGGTCCCGCCAGAGTTTCTTGCGGAGCATCATGGGGAAGATGATGATGTGGAGTAGCATTGGCCGACGGTTGAAAGAAAGCGTTGGAACACATTGATAGTGATATACCCTACAGAGCATACAAGATATTTATCATGCACAATAGTACTGTAGTATGATGTTGGGCACTGATACAAGTGACTATGAGAGTTGATGGACCTTTCACGGGCTAACGGGTGTGGAGCGTTCGTGGGGATGCGGTCCCTAACCTCGGCTAAGCTTGGCCCGATCTCTCGGGGCAAGACGGGGCGTATAGTCAAGTGTAGACTCTGGATTTTCTACTGAATTCCTAATGCTTTACATGCAGAGGAGAGTGCTGGCTCTAATCAAGAAGGGGTAAAAGCAAACCGGCCCTGTAACGCCAAAGAAGATGCCGTGGTTCATAAGGATTATGCCACAGCCCACCTAAAGTCTCCCACACCAAAATCTGTAAGCCAGGCCCTCGGTCAACACCAACCCCCTCCAAAGGACTTGGAATGTAGACCAGTCCTCGGTCCAAAAGATGCTCGTATAGCACGCAGTTCGCCTAGGTGGCCCGAAGGATGAGGAGTCGACGGGGCAGCTCGTGCGCCTCCACAGGATGCTGGCTTTTTATAGCCGGAATCTGGCTTCCCCTACCGTCTCCTCTCAAACCAGCCGCTTGATCCAGCAATCGCAACAGACTGGTCCATGACCCATTCGCCGACACCGAGATACTTGTCAACCCACTTCTGCATCTCTTTGTTCTCGCCAGTCACTTTCTCCGTCTTGAAACTGGGCCTGGGAGGTCCCCAAGAGGGGCAGATATTAGCTTCTTGGACTTTCAACGAACCCGGATTTGTATGATCGATCTCGTCGAGCTTCGTCGAAGGAAATGACTCACGTTAGGCCGGTCGAGCGCTTCATCCCGGCGAGGAAGGCGGAGACTGAGACGACGGTGTTAGTCGATGTTTCTCGTTCGGTAATATGTCGCATTTGGCTTGAAGCAGCCCAGGGCACTCACTGAGTACGGCATCGAAGGCGTAGTGGGTTAATCGACCGAGCTTCGACCACAAACCCAATGTCAGCAAGTTGAGGAACTGAGAGGCACTTTAGACTCTAAAAGCCAGTGCTGCACTGCGCGTACAAAGCGGGCAGGCGAGCAGCTTGAGATACGGGGAAACGCACCACCATCTTGAGGATTATGTCCCTGGATTTATCCGATCACAGCTGGAGATTCTGAAGATGCACCGAAAAGTGCAGGAATCGGAGTCTCAACGAAACCGCAGGATGTACGGTTACGAGTCGTTGTTTCTTTGGAGTATTTGTTTGGGATGGTGAGGAGGGTCTTGGTTGTGGAAGCGACGTACGAGAACAGCCAGTTGGAGGAGTCTCGCCTGGACTTTCAGGCTGGCTGGCTGGCTGCTGGGTCCTGGCACGAGACACTGCACTGAGAGGCACCCGACCCACCCTCAGCTTTCCGGAAGCTGCGACCGCCAAACCGCTCTAATAAGGGAAAGAACTCCACACTAGCCGACCCCGACCCAGGCAACCCACCAACGGTTAGGTTCCTGAGCACGTGCTGAGTCAGGTGTCTGGAGACTCAAAATCAACTCTGGAGGGAAAGACCCTGCCGCCCTTCCGGATAAGCTCCTCGGGGGCGTGTGTTATCAGGAAGGCACGATTCGCCAATCGAGTGGCAGATAATCCGACCGCCTTCCTTGTCGGGGCCAGGCTGCTTTGGGGAAGGGATGGAGGGGTCTAGGTCTCCTCCAGGTTGTTTTGGAGGGGCTCAACCTGCTAAACTGTGCTGAGGCGGCAGCGCTGAGTAGCGGACGAATGTTGAGAAGCTTAGAGGCTGCAGGCATGCAGGCGGGCGCTTGAGGCACTTTTTTTTTCTCTTGGTCGAGACAGCTCCGTGACGACGAGGGAAACATCCACCACAACCACCAATTCCCGCAAGGCCTTTGGTGTTTTTCTGCGCCTCTTCACTTCTCATCTTTTGCACTCTCCTCAACTCTCAATCCTCGACTCGCCTGCAGACCCTTCAACTTATAAAGGTGAGCAAGAAAATCTCCTGCTGGTTTCGTGTTTCGGACGCCCGAGCCGCTGTAGGACCGATTGTCCGTTGGCACCGTCTCAAATCTGGTGATGCCCGCCGTGGAGGGGTAGTCCGTATGCGGCGACTTGGGGATCAGTAGCTTTTTTTTTCTTCCCTCTGCACCTGGACAAGTCGTCTGCTTGCTGCAAATATTTTCGCAACTCCTTGCAGAATTGATTGCATCACCGGCAGCCTCATTCTTTTTAAACCCTCACTGCTTACTCCCGCTCTTATTCCCTCAACCCGTCTGCTCTCTCGGCGATCATAAACACCGAAGAAGCTTGCGCATTTCCCGTCCGCTTTCCTCCAAATCACAACTTCATTCTCAACCCTAGCTAACCTGACGAAGCAAACAAACATCCCTACAGTATCATCATGGCTGCCAACGCCCTCGACCACCTCTCCCTCGGTGGGAGGATCGACTGGCTTGCCCAGCTCGACACCGCCTACCACCCCGAGAAGAACTACCGCCGCACCTCCATCATCTGCACCATCGGCCCCAAGACCAACTCCGTTGAAGCGATCAACCAGCTGCGCCAGGCCGGCCTGAATGTCGTCCGAATGAACTTCTCCCACGGCAGCTACGAGTATCACCAGTCTGTTATTGACAATGCGCGTGCTGCTGAGAAGGCTATGCCCGGCCGCCAGATCGCCATTGCTCTTGATACCAAGGGCCCTGAGATCAGAACCGGAAACACTAAGGGTTCGTGTTGTGCAGGCTGTTTTCTTGTGTGGCACCAATGCTAAAATCATTCTAGGTGATGCCGATATCGAGCTCAAGGCAGGCACTGTCCTGAACATCACCACCGATGAGAAGTACGCTACTTCTTGCGACACGGAGAACATGTGAGTATCCTACCTTTGGCGCTTCTAGGCGAAGGCTTCTGACCGTCAACTCTTCAGGTATGTCGACTACAAGAACATTACCAAGGTCATCGAGAAGGGCCGTGTGATCTACGTCGACGATGGTGTCCTTGCATTCGATGTCCTCGAAATCACTGACGACAAGACCGTCAAGGTCCGAGCTCGCAACAACGGATTCATTTCCTCCAAGAAGGGTGTCAACCTGCCCAACACCGATGTCGATCTGCCCGCATTGTCTGAGAAGGATAAGGCTGATCTCCGATTCGGCGTGAAGAACAATGTCGACATGGTGTTTGCGTCTTTCATCCGACGGGGACAGGACATCAAGGACATTCGCGCTGTTCTTGGTGACGATGGCAAGCATATTCAGATCATTGCCAAGGTACATCTTGTGAACATTAATCTCTTTTTGACAAGTTGCTGACTCTCTTCCCACAGATCGAGAACAGACAAGGTCTTAACAACTTCGCTGAGATCCTCCAGGAGACTGACGGTGTCATGGTTGCTCGTGGTGATGTATGTGAACGCCCAAGTAGTTTCAGGGTCGTACTGACATGTTCTGCAGCTCGGAATTGAGATCCCGGCCGCTGAGGTCTTTGCGGCTCAGAAGAAGCTGATTGCCATGTGCAACATGGCTGGAAAGCCCGTTATTTGCGCGACCCAGATGCTTGAGTCTATGATCAAGAACCCCCGACCGACTCGTGCCGAGATCAGCGATGTTGGTAACGCTGTGACTGATGGCGCCGACTGCGTCATGCTTTCTGGTGAGACGGCCAAGGGTAGCTACCCTAACGAGGCCGTTCGGGAGATGTCCGAGACTTGCTTGAAGTCTGAGAATGTCATTCCCTATGTTGCCCACTTCGAGGAGATGTGCAGCCTCGTTAAGCGACCTGTCAGCATTGTCGAGTCCTGCGCCATGTCTGCTGTCCGCGCATCTCTGGATCTGAACGCTGGCGGAATCATTGTTCTGTCTACCTCTGGAGATTCTGCCCGTCTCCTGTCCAAATACAGACCCGTCTGCCCCATTTTCATGGTCACAAGAAACCCCTCTGCTTCCAGGTACGCTCACTTGTACCGGGGCGTTTATCCCTTCCTGTTCCCCGAGGCCAAGCCCGACTTTAGCAAGGTCAACTGGCAGGAGGATGTCGATCGCCGCATCAAGTGGGGTGTGGCAAAGGCCATGGAGCTGGGTGTCCTGTCCAAGGGTGAGTCCGTTGTTGTCGTCCAAGGCTGGAAGGGCGGCATGGGCAACACCAACACTCTGCGTATCGTCAGGGCCGACACTGAGAGCCTGGGCATCGGACAGGCATAAAAGTTTGATAGACGATAACAATGCTGTTATTATTGGCAATGAGAAGATCATATGGCTTCGGCGGCTTTGTAACCCAGCACGGTTAAATGACGGTTTGCGGTGTTTTATGCAGATAGACATAGGCAGTACGAACTTGCATCATCGATATCCTATCTTCACTGGCCTTTAACATGTCATTGCTCCCTTGCCACTTGGCTAACGCCCGATACGGCACTGTACACGGTCTGATGTAGCCTCAAAATTGTACCACTTGCAGTGTCCCCTCATACTCTAACATGTAGGTAGCACTATGGTGTATTTTCCTGGCTTGAGATCTCAATAGAAGCCTCCTTGTACTGCTCCACTAGGTCGCCTAGCCTCTTAGCCTCTGGGTTGTCCGAGACACTTACGATGGTTACAGGCCACTCAGACTGGACCTCTTTAAGGTGCCGGTCCCGTACTTCCCACGAGTCCTCAATCTTCACGTAGTGTTTCAGCGCATCAAAATCTTCCGGACGCAGTCTACCTGCCACGACGTAGAACATTATCTGGCCAAGGTAGAAGCTCTGCCCCTGCTCGAATATACCTTTCGCAAGGAGGACGACCATGGACCGCAGCGCGAGGAAGTCGTTCGGATCCTCCACTTTCGGCATCTCATCGATATCCATGAAGATGTGTGCGGCGAGGAAGCTGAGGAGAAGTGTGTCGAAACACTCGAAGCCGTGGCGTAAGTAATAGGCTCTGAGCAGAGTTTCTAGACATACTTTCAGGTCGGACGTGATTTGATGGGGAGGTTGGTCAAACAGAGTAGATGGATCTTCCAACTCTAGACCGTCTAATGATTCAAGAAGACTGAGCTGCACGCGACAATAGTGCATACTTGAGCAATGAACGAGTTAGTGGAAATTCATGAGAGAACAAGAAAATGGGAAAGAAGTTTCTTACTGTAGTTTCAGCTCTGACGGCAAGACAATTCTTCTCGGAGACAACGATTCTGACAGCCCGATGAACCACTTTTTGAATCTTGAGTAGAAATGCGCAATCTCCGCAGCAGAAAGCTTCTGCGATCCATTCATACTATCAAAGGCTCGTTCGCCGGCTTCGTTCAAGATGACATGGAACTCTGCTTTCGCCTTGAACAGGTCACCTGAGTTGACTAGATATGGAGTGTTGCTCAGCGGGTACTTGAGCCACATCTCGCCGTATCAGCTCGAGTCCTCTGATGGATCTGGCATGGGCATCTCAGGTGGGTTCCTGAGGACTGGTGCACGCCAGAAACCATAGCATATTAGACTGAGTGATTCAAGGTTAGTCTGGTAACTCGATGACTGTTGACTTGTCGCAGCTTACCTCTGGAAAGTAAACAGGGCCCAGGCTGTATGAGCTCGTGCGTTGTGTAGCCTCTCGCTTTTGATGGCATCGTGTTATGTGAATAGCCCAATGTTGTGGGCCATGGCGCATGCTTGGAGGGTATAAGACCAGCCGAGCTTGTCTGCCCCGTTCATGTTATAAACTATATTGAGGATGATGCCCGCTTGCACAGTGGTGAGCTTGTCGTTGTTCTGCTCGTATTCCCAGAGTCGTTTCGCTTCAGCAAGGAATCCATACCCTAAGCTGCGGGTATTCCAGTATTCGACTCGGTCATGAAGACCGCGGTAATATTTCTGTCGAGAATCAGTTCAATGCCCCCATCCATCACGCTCCGGTCTGATGCTTACACAACTAGCAGCTAGAACCGCATTGACAAGGAGGGATGAACACAACCCCTCACGCATCTTTGCCATGTTTTCAAGGAAGTAGTCTTTCTGGAACAAGTGCCACCAGTCGTGATCTTGAAGAATATATGCACTGAGAAGGTTACGCATGAGATCATTGTCGTTGCTGACTGTTGTCCATCTAGCTGGCTCTACCGCACTTAGTCTAGGATCTACAACTTCTGCTGCATGATAACGCTTTGTATACGGTGACAGAGCTGGGGCTGCAGTCGAGGGGGTTGACGGGGAAGACGACTGCGTGGCTGTCGCTTCCTGGCTGTGCTCTTGCCATGCCCACTCGTAGATCATAGAGTTCAGATAATGATTCGTGGAGCGCAGGAGATAGGTCGGCATAACGGAAGAAAGAGGAAACTCATAACGACATCGTGTCTCAGGGACCAATGTAACTTGAAACAGGAGGTCGCCATAGTCGAGGTGGCGAGCAATTGTTTCTAGGTCATCTCCTCTTCTGATCCTCTGCAGGACAGCCTCAACCTCGACCTCAGGCCGGTTTCGTATAGTATCATATATGCGCTTGAAAGCTGTTAAGCGTCCCCTCGTCTCATGGTATTTGCGCGATATTGCCTGTGAGTGCGTCTCACCAGCTGCTGTATCATATTGGCAGTTCGTCTGCCTCGAGACGCACGCAGTGCACTTGGGACGTTCACCGCTGCACTACTGGAGGTTAGACATTGTCAGCTATAAGCTGCTTTGGATAATTTGAGGCGAGATTGGCACATGGCGACGAGTACAGCGAGAATTGAACATGCTGATATCGACCTTATATCTACGTTTGCGGCACGCTTCGCATGCGACAGTGACCGGTGTACGACGTTTTCGAACTGAAAGAGGCTCCGACTGGCGAGAGAGAACACTCTCAGCTGTAACGGCGGTGTTCGAAGGGAGGAGTCGGCGAAGGCCTGTTAGGTTGCTAGAACTTGCGTCCAAAGCCATTGGTCTTGGGAGGCCCTAAGGTTACTGGGCTACTAAAGAGAGAGTTTTGTAAAGCAACTGGTGTGAAATCTGTCTCTGCTGTACAGCTCGAACCTGGGCCCTCACTTGATCGCCTGCTTGAGTTTCACGAGAAAGACCAGTGACGAGCGGACGAAAGCTCCGGTTTACTACGATTGATTGCTCTGCGGCGTTTGTGGAAAGCCACCGCACAACTGATTTGGTGCAAACCGAATGCAAGAAGCAATTGCGTTCTATACGAGGAGCGGGCCTCTTCGGCTTTTTTGATATCTGGTGCATGCACTGTGGTAACATCAATGAGACTAGTTAAATAACATCGCTCAGACAAGAGATAGTAAACATGAAATAGTAAGATGGTTGCCTACCTGCGAGGCAATGACAATAGATCTTGTCTATCACCCATGGCTATAACCAAAGGTCCAGGATGCCGAGCTGCCCGACTTCGAGAAAACTGGCTGAAATGCCTCGAATCATAACAACCGAAACACCGTACATCTTCCGTCACCAGAGACATGTGAGACAATTTCTATTTCACTTTGTGTGGTTGCCTTCGCAAGTCAACATGACTATAGAACAATGATCTATGTGACATAACACGGGTTGTGTCAGTCCGCGATACAAGAATGACATGACACAATGACCGAGAGCAGGTAGAATGAAAGCATATCTTCAATTATCTCCTGTGCATTTCTTCCAGGGCTCTTGAGATGGTTTCACAGATATATTTCCGTTCGTGGATTCTCTTCGTTTGTGAATCCTCGTTCTTCACTCCGGAAGGTAGAAGTTTCCATGGAGCCATGCAATGATATCCATTGTCAAAGGCACCTTCCACCATCCTCTCAAAGATGGCTGACATACCCTCGACGGTATGCATCTTGTCAATCAACCGAATTCTTTCTCTGCTATCCTTCTGCCTTGAAAAATCTAGAATGCGTGCGACCTGCAACAGCAGCACCAATCATTGTCGCATAGGAGGTGCCGGAGAGGGGTTTATCGGTCTCTAAAAGTTTAACGTTCTCTCCAAGAATAGCAAAGCTATTTCGCGCTTTTGATGATGCCGAAGGGTTGAAATTGGAGTTAGCACGGATATTTGCGTCTGTTGAGAACATGCAGAAAAGCTTGAGATCGATATAGAGGCGACCGGGAAAGGCAATGTCCACAACATTTCCATAGTTTGAAGCTGCTGCAAATATCAAGATATTGGCGTTGCGTGCTTCATTAATCGCTTTTCCCAGCTCCTCATTCGGTTCCCTAAACCCAGATGGCATGACGATTATGTCGACATTCCAGTCATCCTTTGCGTGCCTTACAGCCTCAGCCATTAGAATGGGTGTCTTCTCCGTTGCTGTGGAACTCTGAAATACCCTGCCAACGTATATTTGAGCTATGTTGTATATTTTCTGTATAAGTCGAATCGCATTCGTTCCGTGGCCTGTTGTGTCTTGCCAGTCGTCGTTCTCGGGATTGACGAAGTCCTTGTAATCCTTGACTGAATCGCCATGACTATCGCTTACACCTGTATCGAGAATCGCTATTTTGATGGGCTTGTATGTGCTATCTTTGTCCTTGTGTTTGGGCCGTAGTACAAGATTGAGCTTATCCATTTCTGAAAACCAGTCATCAGATGAGCACCCTGAAGCACTAGATTAAGCAGTCAATAGCTGTACTACGAGGAGGGCGAGGACAATATCCATACGTGTGTGACATTACTGATCCAATTCGTTCTTCTGGTGATGGTGTCAGCGAAGGAGACATGCCAGCCCTAGATCTCTGTTAAATAAACGCCGGAATTCAATGGGAACCCAAGCTTACTGCATTCCGTGAAAGAGAGCTGGATGGTAAGTCCAAGCTGGCAGCTGCGGCAGAGGCGATGGACAGAGTGGTTGATGAGTCAAGATTGTCATCGGTAAATTTGAAGCCGAGGCAGGATGTGTCTTTTCATGAAATGCTAATTCGGCCGTCTCTGAAGTCTCAAGTTCAAGTGGACGGATTTGTGAACTGTCTGGATGTCCCCAGGCAGCCATGAACAGCGCCTGGAGTGGCTGCACTACTTTCCTCTTTAGCACGTTCCGAAGGCTCTGTACATCACTCAAAGCGGTATTGAAGTCATCTGGAATCAAACATGCTCCTATGACTTCTCTGAATGCTCCAAAGGTTTCCCTCTCCTCCCATAGGCTATCACTGTTGAACAGTCCCATGGCGGCAATATGGTCGGCATTCACAGTGGGCTCGCCGTTGGTCTCAATGTCTTCGGGTTGCCTATAATCCTCGATCTTGATACCAAGTTCGATCTCGAGAAACATAATACCTAAAGCGAGAACTTTTGGGAAGGGGTGAGTTCTAAAATCATCGTTAACACCCTGGTTTTCCCGAAGACCGTCGAAATGCGTGTTTAGGAAGGGCTCATTAATGTAGATACCCCTTGGGTGCATTGACCGTCTTTCAAACATGAATTGTACGGTTTCTTTCGTCCATTCCCTGCGCATCCACTCAGAGTCGTAGAACTGCCACACCGCTTTAGCCAAATAATACGACAATAGCAGCTTCATCTTTCCGGACAGTTTTGTGTCTTCAAGCAACTTGGCTAAGGACACACTAGAAGAGTCTAGAATAAAATTTTGGGATCTCATACTGGATCCTTCCAGTATGAGGCTGTGGTTCCGGATGGCAAAGTTTAATTGACCCCTTTGCCGATTCGTAATCGTTTTGCAAAAAGTGGCTATCGAAATATGTTTACTGGGAGCAATGCCAGCATCGACGCTTGCCTCACGCTTGAACTTGATCCCTCTTCTTAAATTAGTTTTGCCATGCTCGACCTGATAAATGGGGTTCAACCACTTACCTTGTACGCACAACGCAGATTTTAGCATCCTGCCAATGGCAAGCTTCACTCCCACGATGATGATGTGGATGGGCGAGGAAAAATATTTTGAAATTGACACTATCATCAACTTCATCGGCTGTACAACAAGCTCGTAATTGAAGGATTGCGGTGATTGGCCTTTCGCTATCATCCTGTTGGCACAAACAATGAGATGCAAGACTGGTATACAACGCTCGTAGATAAACTTGATAGTCGCTTTCATCTTCCTGCATATCTGCCGACTCAAGTTCAGAGACATCAGGGCCGCGCTCAACTTTCTTCAGCTTGT